TGCAAAGGTGGCTCTTTGAAGGCAGCAGAGAGAATTTTCAAAAAGAATTGTTTGTTTGAAGAAGAACCATGACGTGACCCGCACGGGCCGAATACGTGAACATACCGTGTTTTCTTGTGTTAGGTGTTGTGTCACCTAGTTTTAGTGTTCCTATGGAAACGTTTCTTTCACTACTGAGAAGGTGAGAAAAACAAAGCAGCAGTTTTCAGCAAAGAAAAAAGTTGAAAAATGGAAAAACTCGAACTTGACATCCGAATATCAACATAGAAATTCGTTAGAGAAACAAAAAAAAAACCCGAGTTTCGATTATAAATTTCAATTGAAGCTCATGTAAGTGAGCCATGTGAAGAAGTCCCAATTACATTCTTAATTTTTTAGTTCTTTGTTTTTTTATCATTAAAAAAACTTAGAAGTGGGAGAAATATTTTTTTATAAAAAAATCAAAAGGCTTTTTCAAATCAGATTCATTTGTGGATGTCCGGTGAGGCGAGGAAAATTTCATTCAAAAATCGAATTTTTAATTCTTACTTTTTAACTGCTATGAAAAAAATAAGAATTTAATTCTACTCAATTGGCTCGTCTAAATAAAAGCACTGACAAAAATAGGGAAAATTGTTAAGAAGCATACAATTCAGGACAAGATCAAAATCCTATTTCCGTTCCTAGAAATTGATAGGATTTCTATACTGAGAAACAACTATTTGCTATTCAAAAAAATTATAGGTTACACTAACCATCTAAGGTGAAAAAATTATACGTTTGAAATAATAACAGTTTTTTTTTCTCGATTTTGTGCACCTTGATCATTTTTATAGCCTTTTTCATGTCATATACTATTTTCTGCGCCTATTTGATAGTGTATCCGCAGAAAACAGGCAGAAGTAAACATGTAGTGTATTTTGCTTTTTAGAACCGAACAAATTTTTGCGAAAATTTTTCCTACAACTCAGCTACAATTTTAATGCCAATCAGCTGAAATAATTCGAAAAAAATGAATTCCCGTAATTTCAACGAGAAGGAATAATAGAAATACGTATTCAGAAATGCACATGCATTTGCAGTGCTAGGAGGCCGCGGTTTTGGCATTCCCTTAGCCGAAAAACAGCCATTGAGGTTATTTTCCAGTGGAAACCTCTCCTGAGGTTTTCATCAAAATGAAATCCTCCGACAGAAACAATAAATTTGTTTATTTAACCGCAAGAAGAAAATAGGTGTTTTATTCTGACAAGAGAAACAAGAAATAATGTTACTCGAGGATACTAGAATTTTGTGCATTTCTGAAGCTGATTTCGAAACATATGAAGCATGCTGATGGTTTTAACGTCTTTGAAAAAAGCAGCTTAAAAAAAGCTGAAAAGATAGATTGAGAAAAATTTCTTTTTTTATTCTAATTCTAGTCGTTCCAGAAACTTGAAAGCTTTTGCAAAAGAATAGGAAGATTCAAAAAGCACTTGAAATCTTGATTTAATTTTGAATCGTTCAGAAGTTTCAAAGTTTTGAATTCCATAGATAAGCTTTTACCATTGACTTTCTTTGCAATCAAAGACAAGACCTCCTTTTCCGTCAATTTCCACAGAGATTCAGAAGGTTTTCAACTGAAAGTCGACCCAAGAGAAACAAAGATTTTTTTTGTCATTTCTCATGAAAAAAATTTTAAAATTGTTGAATAAATTTAAACACAAAAAGACGGGTCATCCTCGGGCGGATCACTAAAACGATGCATGCAAATGAGAATTGACGAGAAGCGTGGAAGAGACTCTTCTCCGATGAGCCAGAAAAAAAGAAAAACGAAGGCCTTTGCACTTTTTCTCAACTCTGCTAGTGTTCAACGATTGCGGAGGACTCGAAAATTTTGGTCTTTGCTTCAACAAAACTGAATTACCGAGAAAATAATACCAAAAAAAGAAACTTTATGTTCTGAGCCGAAAACAGATATCTAAGTAAGAATTCCGGCTTTTGTTTGGAGAACATAAATTTGAAAGAAAAACCATTTTCAATAAGAAAATGTATCTTGGCAACTGGTCGCAATTTGGAAAAACGTGGCTCCGATCCAATAAAAAGAGAGCAAGTCGTTGGGTTCCAGAAGGCTTTGAGAAGGTTTTTCGTTCTTTTTATACCCAGTTTTTTTAACACGGGAGATCGTTAAAACAATTGTGAAAAAACGTTCGAAAAAAACTCTCAAGTAGTTCTAAAACACTTGAATTTGTTGAGGGCTAGTTTCTTCTCCTTCATATAATGAAAAAAAGAAAAAACACTTCAGTTAGTCTTTTTCTCAGTCAGGAAATATATAAATTGACACTGTAAAAAAATTGCCAGAAACTTGAAAAAAATTCAGGGAAAAAAAGCCGAAAAAAACGTTTATGACAGAAATAATTAGACAAGAAGCTTTTTGTAATTCAGGTTCTTATGACTTTTCGGATATTCTATTGTTGAAATGAGAAACAATTTTTCCCTCGCATAACACAGGTTAGATATAAAGGTTTTTCTTGATCGAAAATTTTGATTACAGCCCTGCATCTTCGGGACTCGATAATTTTGACCAAAAACGCTCTTTGGGATTTTTCTTCCAAACTTCTTCGATTTTCTTCGTTGATAATAGAGATTTAATTACGATTTCAAAGATTTAACTCCTTTCCGATGAATTTTGCAGAAAAAAATCAAAAAAACCTTCCAAGCTTCAAAAACTCTAAAAAAAGAACAAAGGGGATATGAGTACGGTTTCAATGCTTCAATTCGTATCTGATAAATTTAGCAGACACGTTAAACTAAAATTTTCAACTTGGGTAGAAAAAACCCTTTAGATAAACGTTCTCTGAGCCCGTGCCGTCAACCCCCCTGATATAAAATGGCAAGTCGCGCAAGCCACCACGAGTCGGGCGAACGATTTACGGGGGTCAGGGACTGTTTTTGCTCATTTGCTATCACTATTTTTACCAACATCATAGCAGGAAGGCTTGGATCGCTGCCTCCGCGTGGCGCCTTCTGGGTGAGACTCAGTCTCAGCAGAAAGCGATTCATTTTTGGTAACGCCGGCCTCAGGGCTGGCAAAAATAAAATAAGAAATTCTATCCCAGAAACTCTCAACAGCCATTTTGATGCTTTTTTTCAGCATATTTTTTTTTACTACTAATCGGAATACGAGCCATCACAGTGCGGTAAGAGCCAAAGAAATTTTCTGGAAAACTGAAGAAATGTGAAGTTTGGACATTGCTCAGACGGTCTAGGATTCGACTACGCGCGATATTGTATTTGAAAAATGGTCGTATATCGGGATTCTTGAGAATTTGAAAACTCTATCAATCACCAACCACTTCAACTATAGAAATATATTCAAAAAAATCCTTAATTTCTCAACTTTTTTGCCAGCCCTGAGGCCGGCTTTACCAAAAATGAATCGCTTTCTGCTGAGACTGAGTCTCACCCAGAAGGCGCCACGCGGAGGCAGCGATCCAAGCCTTCCTGCTATGATGTTGGTAAAAATAGTGATAGCAAATGAGCAAAAACAGTCCCTGACCCCAGTAAATCGTTCGCCCGACTCGCGGTGGCTTGCGCGACTTGCCATTTTATATCAGGGGGGATGACGGCACGGGCTCAGGGAACGTTCATCTAATAGGTTTTTTCTGCCCAAGTTGGAGATTTTAGTTCAAAGAGTCTGCAAAACTTATCAGAAGTAAATAAAACTTCTAAAAATCGTATTTATATCCCTTTTTATTTTGTTTTTTTTGAGAGCTCCAAAGCTTGAAAGCTATGTGATTTCTCATTATAAAAAAATATTTGAATAAAAATAACGGTTTGTTGAAAATTAAGTTCACACATTTATTATCATTGATTTGTGATGCGCGATTCTGAATTCGAAAGCTCAATAATAATTCAAAAAAATATTTTTTTCTTTTTTTGTGTTTTTTTCTCGCGTTTTTTTGCCTTCCAAGAGTTGGTCGGTAAGTATTTTTTGGGGTTTTAGTTGACATCTTCGTTAAAAATTATTGTTTCGACCGGCAGTTTGAAAGAAGCAAACCGAAGAAGTTCGGAAGAAAATTCTAATGAGCATGCTGAACAAACTTATCGGGTCGATGCCCAAAGATTCAAGGCTGTTATAAAATCCAAAGCTATCATTTTCACTTCAGTCGATTTCTTTTTTACAGACGGTTGCTTAAATCACAAATTTTTTTTGGAAAAATTGAAATTTCAAATTAGACTCGAGGGAATTAGAGACTTTTTGAAATGAACGACTTGTACAAGACACAGTTCTATTTTTCGTTGTCCAGTGTAATGAATAAGATTAGAAAATTTAGTTGCTTTTTTTGCTTGATTATCTTTTCCCTTTTCACCATCCTTCAACTTTAGAGGAAAATGACGCAAGCGGCAAATCACAGGTGTTTTGGACAAGAGGATTTGCCAAATTTATCGCTACCGTTTCCCACAGCTCTCTAATCCTCCTTCTTACGGCAATTTATGCGGTATCGTTTCATGTTGCGCAACATTTTAATTTATTTCTTTTTTTCTTGATAGTGAAGAGCTATAAAAAGCATTACATTTTTTTCAAATAATCGTTTCACAAAAAAAGCTTCTTCGATTGCATTTAATATTTCGAACGCATTTTATGTCAAAAAAAGAATATCATGAAAAAAATATCGTTTCAAGAGTTTTTTTTAAGAAGTTCAGTGTTGCTTTTTTTTGTTCGATTTTTGCTGTTTTTGAGAGCTCTACAGTACTTGCAATTTAAAATTTTGCAAAGCTCAAGATTAATTGAACAAACAAGAATGAAATTGGAAGTTTATCATTTTTTTTCGAACAAACTCGTATCAGTCACAAAATGTGGAAAAATACAAAATTGTTCCAAATTGTTCCAAAACCGAGCCCTGAAAATCCAAGGCCCCTATTTCCAGCCTAAGCCTTGTCGATGTACCTACCGTAGACAGGGATTTACGACCGAGAAAGGTAAGACTCGCCAGCTTGAAGCTGAAGAATCGGTTCATTAGCGACAAGCCGCTGTTTCCAGGATGCACAACAACCAGCGATTTAGCTCCTTGCTTCGGGATTACGCGCCTCTCATCTCGGCCGACACTAATCTTCTGTTCGCTCAATTAGTTACGACTTGTTCGCGGTGGCGGATCGGTAACATCCTTTTGCGGCTAATCCCGTTTCATTTACAAACATAAAATTGAGGCGGCTTTGTTTTTCCCCAAAATGGGTATCACACCTGCTCTGATGATGAGGCTCTCAAATTTCCGATAAATAAGAAAAAAAGTTTGCATCACAATCCCAAAAAACTCTCGAAGGTCTGTTCCGATTTGGAGTTATACAATAATGCAAGTGAATCTTCAAAAGCTGGAAAATTGACAAATGAAAGTTAATTTACTTTATCCAACCGCCTATAAACACTGGAGAAGCATTTGAGTTGACTGAATGTGTTTCTTTCGCTCCTCAAGAAATTAAAATTATGGCTGCATTATAACTAAAATCTTTTCAGATTCACATTCCATTTTCACGAAAAGGATGGTCTCTGTGGTTTCCGAAAAACTTTGTATCAAGAGATCAACGCTAGTAAACGTCAAAAACAACTTCAAAAAAAAAAAAGAAAATCGCATGGAATGACCAAAACTGTTTAAAAAGATAAGAACCACGCATCTTCAAAATGATAAACCGAAAACGAGGCTTGCGAATTAAAGGAAAAAAATTACAATTAACAACGAGTTTACTGATACCTGCATTTTAACAAGTAGTTATAATTTCAGGTGTTTGAAGGAGCATAGTAAAAATGTTTATGAGATCCTGTCAGGACCATTTAATTTTTTTATTTCATTTCCACCTCTCGAGTGCTCGATCTTTATTAATTTTATCCCCTGTGATGGCTCTGATTCAATTCGACGTAAGCTAGCCTTGAAAAAGCTGGTTGCCGTACTGCCCCTACATGGAGTAGCAGCTGATCATCAAAAAGGTAAAAACTGGTCTACCATTATCAAAAATAGGCCAGATGTTTTACGCGTCGTTTTTGATCGACGAAAGTTTCGCGAGCCAACAAAAAACTCTTCAAATAACCCATGATTCAAAGGAGAACTTTCTCTGAGGATTGAAAGAATGTGTGAATGTGTATAGTCTGTGTGCCATGACTTGAAACTTCACCAAACGACATTCCGCTGTTCCGCTGCGTTGCGAAGCGTCTTTGCGAGCCTCAGTCTCGCTTTGAATTGGTTCTCATTTCTGATAGATGGACTGTTTCACTAGGAACACGTGTTGATCAAGTTTTTGAATAAAATGAAAAACTAGAGGCGTTCAAAGGCACGCAGCGGAACAGAGGAATGTCGTTCGGTGAAATTCCAAGTCGTGGTACACAGACTATAAATCTCCTTTACCCCTAAATTTTTTTAAAAAAGATCTCTCAGGATTCTCCCTGAATACAATGTTTCAGGCTGGCAAGAGGCGGCAAGCTCACTAATAATCAGTGCTGGACATGTTATGCATAATTCCGACGAAGGGAGTCGCGGGTCGCAGCTGCCCATCGGCTCGGCTTGTGTCTTCTCGCCACTAATTACCACTACTGCTCTATTATCATTATTATAAGGAAGGAGCCGCGGCCTCTGTTGTCGTTGAGGACAAAATGTGCCGCCTGTGGGTGCCGACAACCAAATAAGAAAACAAAGTGTCGCACGACCTTCACTTTTAATTTTTCGATTTTGGGCTGCCCAATCTCATTTCTCAGACGAGCTTGATTTTTCGAATATTCTTTCTTGAAAAAAGTTTCGTGCCGTTGTTGATCTGTGTTTTTTTTTTTGAAGCTACTAGGCCGTAATTTTTCTCTATTTAATTGAAGCTCATGAAGTCGGCTCTAAAGCTAAAAAATCTCGATTATATAGTTTCAAGCCATATAATCATAACCCCATTTTTTGTTTAAGAAGATAAAAAATGCTTTTGTTTCAAATTTCCTTGAAAAAAAGTCCACGAAGGATGGTATTTCCTTCGTGATCTGCTTTTTCCTCACATTTGCAATCAAGCTTACGTCTAATTATCAATAATTTTCCACTCAATGAAAGCCTGCTCTATTGAGAACAATTTTTTTCCATTTTTCAAGTTATTCTCGCGAGAGATGACGCAAGAGATATCAACTTTTTCGAAAAATGTTTTTTAAGTTTTCAAGTTTTTTTTTTCCAATTTTTTGCTGACAACTACAGAAGAAGTTTCACAACTTGTGTCACGTTGTTTTAGTTTTAAAAAATTTCTGTTTTTATGTCTTTCTACTACATTATAAAAAAGGAAAGTCAGAAAAAAATAAAAACGAATATAAAGAAAAAATCTATTTTGTATTTTCTAGCATTTTTAACCTAAATGATTCCACCTAGTTCCTATTTATCCCGTTGAAAGTTTTCAGATTTCCTGCTACGGTTATACGTGCTTTTCGGGACCTTGAAACTTTTACAAAAAGCTGAGAAGTTTAAGAAGAGAACTTCGGCTTGGAGATCAGTCTGACAGGACCTAAAGGCCAGCGTCGTCGGCGACGTCAAAGACACAAGATATCGTGCAGATTCGTCGTTTTCCCAACCTTTCGAGCTCGGATTCGTCGTCGTTGGCCTTTCCCCCCAACAACGGCTGGCGGTGCACGTCGCGCTGACTAACACGTATAATTGCGTTTTTACCGTTGCATGGCTATTGATGCCCGAATCTGTTACACAATAGCCCCCAAAAATGAATAATATATTGCTAACTCTGCGTCTCGCGGCCAAAAACTGCACGTTTGCGCCACTCTGCGCCGGCTGATTGTTTTTTTGGCTCTCGACGCTCTTTTCTCTCTTTTTTGTCTTACTGTAGCGTTACTGATATGATTCAGTATCGCATGACGGTTGTCGCAAGAATTTTCAAAAGAACTAGGGCGGAGAGAAGTAGTTTTAAAATTCGAATTTTTGAACAAGAGAAGGAATACATGTTTTTATTGGAAACGACTCACGAGAGATGTTTGGTTTTTCCGACATCGTTTAGGAGACTCAGATTTTTGATAAAATTGAATGGACGAAAAAGGGGCATGATTTCCTTGGGGTAATGCTTCAACTTCTAGAAGGAATCGAAAAATTACATGTTGTCATTTTTTTCATTTTTAGACGCTCAGAAGTTTCTTATTTTTTTTTGCTATATTTAAAGTTTTTCAGAATTTAATTTAGATCTCAAAGTCGTAAGCAACAGGCTGCAGGAAGTTCTTGAAAACTACAGTCATACAATTCTCCGTTTTCGGTGAGAAAACTCCCAATTTCGGTTTTCTTTTTCCTTTTTTCACACTTGATTCGTTTAGGAATCACCGTCAGTCGGCCGGAGGACGAGATCCAAGAAACGCAACCTGAGAATCTACCTGGCGGGGGTTCTCCGCTTCCCCATTAATTAGTGTTGCTCGCCATTGTCCGCTAGGCCAATTGCCATCCTCCACAGGTCGGTCAGACACAATTGCCCGGCGCTAATCCATGCGAGAACCAAGTTGTCTGACCTCCCAATTTTGTCGTCTCAGGTTGAGGTGTTTTCAAATATCCAGATCGGATCAGGATTAAGCGGCGGCGTCACTAAAAGTGCGAGAAATACGGCCAAAAGAATATCGGTAGCTGTGAATTCCATGTGTTCAGAAAATATTGGAAATCGAATTTCAAGCTTCTTTCCTTCTTAAAATCGATGCCTTTCTCCTCTCAGGAGTAAAAACGTCTTCTATGTGATCTTTTTTTCAATTCAAAAATAATTTCAAAAAAAAACCACTGATTTTGCTTTCTCTGAAAAATTTCGCTTCAATTTTTAAAATTTCAAGGAATAGATTAATAAAATTGTCACGTCAAACATTTTTTTCAATTATTCTCAAATAAAGCAGGGCTCCGCCCTCAAACGTCTTTCGAAATTAATAGCGCGTGAAAAAAATAAATTATAGAAAAAAATTTCAGCTATAAAAAAGTTTTCGATTAAAAAAAGAACAGTGGACTGCAAATTGAACAAAAAAAAACAATAAGAAGGCCCTTTCTCAATCTGCCACCTGTGTACATGTTTTTTTAGTTGGGCAGTACGCAGTACGATTCATAGCCGAGAGGACCGTCGGCGTCTCTGCAAAGGAGGTTTCCGCATTGTTCAGCGTCGTTGAATCACAGTGATGCAGGAGACGTCGAGACGGATGCTCTAGCATCGCTTTTTCGGACGTCCTTGCATGCTTCGTCATGCTTGCCATGCTTTTTTCCTTCCTTCTTTTTTCTTCGAAGGAAAGACGGAGGAAGAAAAGGAAGTTAGGTTTTCAGAGTTCAGAGTAGATTCAGCTTTTTGAACTTTTGTACTTTTTCCTTTGAACTTTATATATGAAAAAAATGGCAATTGAACCGGTTATTATCTTTGGAGTAATGGATGAAGAAGATTAGTTTTCGAGCTTTTTCGAAGTTTTCCTTCGCAATTTATGAAAGAAATGAAATGGGATCAAACCAGAAACTACACTCCGTTTGCCATGAGCTAAAATGGGAGACACCCGTTTTTTAAATTTTTAATACATCGTTTATATACTAAAGCCAAAAAAAAACATTTTTTCATCTTAATTTTCTTTTTTTTGAACGGCAGGACCTGGTTGAGAGGTATATTATTGGTTGATACGCGTGTTCCAAGAACAATGGCTGTTTGCTTACGCGAGAATAAGACTGGAAAGAGAGTGTAAACACACAAACGCACACACACACGTACAGCGAGGTGTCAAGAATTTGATCCTACCGTAAGCTTTGCTGGCTCCCGGCGCCGTACTGCACGACTCCTGCGGCTGGGCCGGTTCATGACCAAATTCAAAAATATTGATTAATTTCAGGATTTTCTGTGCTTTTTCCGGCCTACTCTTTGTTAAAAACTTTATGCGAGTTTATAACTTGAAATTTCTGAGACAAAGAAAAAAAAAGTTAAGATATATTGATGCAAATTCAAATTTCAAACTATCGATCTTGTTGAAAAAAATTCGACTACAAAAACATTAAGTTTCATAAAAATCAATAAAAATATTTTACTAAAAATTCCAAAATTCATAAGTTATTTGAAAAGCTGAAATTTTTATTTTCCCAACTTTCAGATACCTTGTAATATGTTTGGAGATGTGTGATGAATACCTGTTAATTTGTGTACGGTAGCAAAAAAACGGGGTTTCGGTCTCAAATTAAATTTTTTTCAAAAAAACTTTTTGTAGTTATAACGATTTTTATTTCAGACAATGACAATATGAAAAAGAGTTTTTTTGTTGATCCAGCTCAAGTTATCATTTTCGAGAGAGTGAAAAAAATCATGATTGCAGCGACTTTCTTTGGGTTTTCGAGTTCAATTTTTTTATTTTTGGGTTTTTTTATGTTATTTTTTTACAGTTATTCAGCTATATGAAAAATTCATGAACGTTGTTTACCGAGAAAACCTTGTTGGTAATTTTCGATCCGAAGAGTTTTTTAATTTGTTCAACGACCGAATTGAGCTATTTCAAACCCTCAATTTCCACTGAAACAAAAAAAGAACACAAAAAGAAACGCTTCTCCTCGGCAAGAGGCCTGACACACGGCAGGCAGGAGAGCAAAGTTTTGCGGAGCACCGGGAAAAGTGCGTCCCATTTCTCCTGCCACTCTCCGGAGCAAAACGCTCAGGGCTACGGTAGGAAGCTTTGCGCATGTGAGCGCAAATTGGCTCACGTATACGATATTTGGGAGCAAAATCACAACAAGATTAGCTGGTTATTATGGCATCCCGCTGTGTTGAACGAGCCCCCGCTGCACACCTAGCTTCCCGCAATTTTTGGAATGTCAAAAAAAAAGAAAGCTGCCAGGTAGCCACAGCATGATTGGTTTTCGAGTGGGCGTGATTAAAAAAATATTGTTCATTCAGTTTGATAACTTGAAAAATTTTTCTCAAGTCAATTTCCAAGTGAGGCAACATTTGTGTTTTTTTCGTTTCAAGATTTCTTCATTTTAAATCGGAGAAAAAAAGGCTATTTAAAAAAATTGAAATGGCATGTTTGCTCGAAAAATTTCAAACTTTTTGAGAAAGAGGCCGACTTCTTAACCGACTATACATTTTTTTATAGTGAATTAAAAAAAGACAAGAAAAATCTGTTTCTTTTGACTTTTCTTCACCTTCGTTTTTTCCAGAATGACCAGAATATCTACGAAATGATCAATTTATGACTCTTCACGTTTAAAACCAATTGAAAAAGCAGTTTCATCAAAACTCTATACTTTGAAAAGCTTCCAAAACTCAACTCCGCTTTTCTATGCAAGTCCATGGCAACTTTTTCAAAAAAACTGAATATATTCAGAAAAAAAACTCCGAATTTTCACACAATTCTTTTTTCACGAATTTTAGTTTCAGTGGGAAACGCCGTGCAGATTCAACAAACCGTACACATATACGCTTTTCACTTTTGCAATCGACGGCGGCGACTCAGACCGAACTGTTTGACGAAAAAAATGTCTTCTGAGGATCCCAGAAAAAACCTTGGCATTTTGGTATGCGGAAACGCGGTAAAACAGCACCTGCAAGAAAAAAAACTAACAGCTGCTGAGGCGGTCCCCTTCTTCTATTTTTCCTCTTTTCTTCCATTGTTCTTTTCAAGCGACAGAATTCCTGACTAGTGTTCTTAAACCGAAAAAAAATGTATTAATCATATAAAAACTCAGTGAAACTATACTCATACTGAGGAGACGTATGATTCGATTGAGCCGGGAAAAATCATTCTATACTGTTGAAAAAAACAAAGAAAAGTATGAAAAAATGCTATTCATTTTTCATAAAATTCATTTGAGAAAAACAACCGAAAAATACACTTGGAATTATTCATTGGATATTTTATCTTTTTATTCTAATCATGAATAACAAAAAAATATCGATCCAGAGGGATTTGTTTGGTTGTTAGAAACCATGCATTCAAGCGTTTTTGATGAAAAACTAGTTTTTTTTATTTCTTCGCAGCAAGATATCCGATCCGCATTGGCTCTTTCAAAGCACCGAGAGCAGTTGTGAATATTCTGAAATTCAAAAAGAAAGTTTTACGTTATTTTGATGGAATCCAATATGAATATGAAATCCACTTGAACTTGATAATCGTTTTTTCTGCTTTTCATTCATTTTTTTTTTCATAATCTAGTTAAAATTTTAAAAATCATGAATGAAAATAATGTTTTTCCGATGAAGTTTCGAATGAAATAGCTGACACCAAAAAATATTCAAGCTGTTTGCTTTTCAACCGAAATTCTCACAGCCGCCGGAAAACTTCAAAGCGCCGGCGCTGTGACAGAAACTGAACTCTTTGCATATTTTTCGTTGATTTCACTCCGCATAGGTCAAACGATTTTTTTCCCACAGCAACTTCCTAGATTTTTGGGTTCGCTTTCAGCGTCGGCGGTCCGTGTTTGTGTTGAAAAAGCCGCCAAGGGCGGTAGGCGACGAAGATGCACCGTGCACAGCTTACACTTCGTGATCGCGCTCCGGTTTGTTCGGTCGCATTCGAAATACATAGAAATACGATCCTGCGGTTCTCCCGTCGGCCTGTTTTTCGAGCGCCTGACTCCCACCAACTTCATCTTTCGCTTTTGGTCAGAGCTCTTCAAGCTCATTTCGTACATTTTTTCGGCTGATTAGTTAGAATCGGGACACTTGACAAAGCGGAAGACGGTCCAAAACAGGCCTGAAGCGCCGTGCCGCATCTTATATTTGCATAACACGCTACTGGAAGACGTGATCAAACCTAGAGCAAACCACGAAACTTTCATTTTTTCGGAGCGAGAAATAGTTATGAAAATTCATTGAGACTGATCTTTATCAAAATAAATTTTGTTAAGTTGAGTTTGTCGGATACGGGTATCCATTGATAGTTGAGTAGATAAAACCCAGTTGACAGAATTTAACTTTCCGAAATAATTTGAACCGATTCGGAAAAAGTTTGATAATTTCTAAAGAACGATGAGAACTCAAAAAATAAAAAGGAAACTGTGAAAAAGAAATGTTGTGAGTTGATCTCCACTGAAAAACAAAGAAAAATGCAAGAATCATTTTACTACTGCCCCATCTTAAATTTATCGATGAGCATTCCGAAAGTTTGGTCGTAATCCGAAAAATCTAAATGTGTGTAAAAATTTTTTTTAGTACGAAGATCTCAGAACTACCTCAGAATAAAACGTCCTTGAAAAGTTGAATGAACTACGCTGTTCATTTTATTTCCTCATTTCTTCAAATTGGGAAAAATTGAGAAATTTCAGAAACTCAGTTTCCCGAGGATAAAAACCGCCTGAAGCTATTGGAATGCGTCTCCAAGTGTCAATGATAGGATTAACGTTGTTTGCATGAAAATCGCGGCGATGATCCTGACGACCCTGAGAAGAGGTCAGACGCCTCTTCGGCCTGCCAGAGGCGCCGTCGCCCTTCTTTGACATCGATCGTCTTCCTTCTGTCCTTTTTTCTCTTTTTTCGAGACTCACTTGAAGATTTAAGGTTACACATATATTTATTTCAACAGAATTCAACATTGACATGTGTAGTTTGAGAGGTTTTACCTAACATATATGTACTTATGTTATAATTGTAAGGAACTTTGGGCATTCAAAACATCAACGGATGACTTGAGGAAGAAAAGTTATGGTTTTACCCTATTCGAAGAGATGTGTGGATGGGGTGTTAGTCAGAAAAGTAGTCGGATAAGTAAGAAATTTGGACTGATCAAAGTGGTATTTTTCAATCAAACTAAAGTTCGAAAAACCGTTTTTCATCGAATATTTACAACTTTGCTCAAAACCAGGAATAAAACGCTAGAAAACAAATTAAACTCTACGACTGTACACCAAATAAAGCCATGTACCATAGCCATGACGTAAAGAGTAAAAAAACTTCTAAGAAAGGCAAAAACCATGAGGAATTCGGCTTGTCAAAGAGCAAAAATGCAAGACTCGGGAAATGTTTAGAGAGAAAAATAAATATTAACATAATCCAAAACAATGATATAAGAGAATAAAAAAATAACGCTGGGTATCAAATGTGACACAGTTGCGGGATCGAGTCTCGGTGTTAACCCAAACGCACGTCAAAAATGCAACAAGAAAAAAAATAAGAAGAACAAGGTATTTCTGAGTATTCACTGAGCCCAAAAGGTTCAACAACCCGTTAATTCTCGTTATGCGCTTAAGAGGAATGAGTCTGCGAAAGAGCGGCAGGAATCTGTTGCGGCGCTAGACCCATGCTTTCAAGAGAAGAGTAAGTCAAGCTATTGTTGTACATGGCGGCAGTCATGGGGTCTTTGGTAGGGTCATAGAAAGAGCGGAACTGCTGGGAAGGATCAATCGAAGCAGACTCACTGCCATCCGGTGAAGCTTCCGATTCGTGTTTGACCGAGGCCGCCGGCGTCAGGTAGTTGGACGGGTAGGTCGTGAGAGGCGACTGAGTGTACTGCGAAGGAGACGTCGAGCCCCCGCCGAGGTAGTTCATCTGGTTCATCATTTCGTAGCCGCGACCGTAGAGAGGATAAGCTGCCGGATCGAAGTACGACGAGGCTCCATTCCAAGTCGGCATCGTTGGATACACCTGGAAAAAAATCATCAATAAATCGTTATCCTTGTTTCTGTTTCACCTGAGTTTTGAGAGGATCCAAGCCGGAAAAGCCGATTGGAATCGTTTTCTTCTGAAGAGCTTTGGTCTTTCTTCTTGGACGGTATTTGTAGTCCGGATGCTCCTGGAAACAAGTTTTCGTTTTTGAGAAAACATTTCCGTAGTCTTGCCTTCATGTGAATCGCTCGGAGACGCTTGGCTTCATCGATGAACGGCCTTTTGTCTTGCTCATTGAGCATCTTCCATTCAGTCCCCAGCCGTTTGCTAATTTCCGAATTGTGCATTTTCGGATTTTCCTGGAAATTTTAAGTGAATTTCAGTACGCAAAAAGAGATTTCAAAACCTGAGCCATTTTGCGGCGCTGCCCACGGCTCCAGACCATGAATGCATTCATCGGCCTTTTCACTCTGCAACGGACGAAGATGAATAGATTTCAGAAAAGTTTAAAGTATTGAGAGCAGTAGATAGCTATTGAAAGAAAATGATTCTAAAGGCGCGAACGGCTTGCCTCAGACAATAGCACAAAAAAAGCAACCTTTTCAAAAGAAAAGAGGGTTTTAAGGCAAACACGAGCAAAAAATTTGAAAAGAGAGGGAATTTTGAATGAAAAAAGGTTACCTGTCGTCGTTCTTTTTGCCGTCCTTGCCAGGTGAGTCGGGACTGTCAGGACCGTTGGACAGGTCGTCTGGCAGCGACTGCTGCGGCAGCTGAGAGGAGGACGGCGGCGGCATTGAAAAGCCAGACATACCCCAAAGTTGGTACTCGTGCATTTGCTTCAAATCTGCATCCATCATCATCATTATGATATGGCGACGCAGTGCAGGCAACCAACACAATAGAAGATGGGTGAGCTAGAACGAGGAGGAGGGAGGGCGGAGCTTGCGCTCAGGCGCCAAGCCAATCATCGTCTCCGTAGGCGGAGCCTTACCGAAGGCGTGACCGGACCGGTGAGAGACGAGAGTGGCAGGTCGGGGAATTCAAGAATCCTAACAAGATTAGCCTCCTTCGGGGCAATTTTTGCGAGCTGTTAAATGGCCTTTCGGAAATTATAGCGGTCATTTAGATGTTCCTTATGAGTTAATCAGAGTTCAAGAGCTTTTTGAACTGAAAAAAATAGGAAAAAAAATAGAGACGCTCAAAGTTTCAAGGACACAGGAGCGAGAGATGAAAAAGTACACAGTCTCGCGAAATTAGAGGAAATATTGATGGTCAACGGCTGGCGCAAGAGCTGGCCATTGTTTTGTGTGCACGAGCACCAGGTGTGGAAGGCTACGGGCTAATTTGTACTAAAAACGTGGCTTTGGTTGAACGCGCTGATTTCAAAACGAGGATTTGTCATTCGAATGGGAAAGAATCGCGGTTTGATTGGATACCAGGAATGATTTGAAAAGGAAGAAGCAGAGGTAGGAAGCAGACGCGAATCCTGAATGCCAGGTAATCGCCACCCTTTCAACGATAGTCGTAAATCCTGGCTAATCTTACCAGGAAACGCCTACATCCCATCCAGGTTACTATAGTTATCAAAAATCAGAAACGTCAGAAAGGAGTCAAGTCCGAGTGGCTTTTTTTTCTGATCGGAAAATATCGGGAAAACAGCAGACGCAAACAAACGTCGATATCACAAGCTCGGGCGTGAAAAAGTGGAATAATGCGAGGCGGTAAAATGGGATGATGGCGACCGTATCGCCATGCTCACTTCCTCTTGCGTCAATTCAACAAGTCTCGTAGCCAATATTTGTCAAGAAGGAGTCAAGTTGTGTTTACCAGGCAGTAAAGCGGCATCAATCCTTACCCCAGCCGCCACTACAGTATCCAACCGCTGAGAGACTAACTTTCTTCTCCGGACGAGTCCGGAGGGCCGCCGGTGGAACTCATTAGTGATGATCGACACAAATATCCCGTCAGGAATAGATTATGTGATGGCTGGCAGCATGCGAAAGTCAAGGGAGACCGCGGCTATACACACGGCCGTCGCAGAGCCACCAGCCAGATTTCCTGCTTTTGCCTTTTTTGAGTTGCTCAAAATTAGTTCCGATTTTACTTCGAAGTTTGCAAGGAAATTCGACAAGGAGAAGGCGAAAACAATGTGTTTTCCTGTTCGGAGAAGATTCGAGGTATGAGGAACATGAAAGCGCATTCAACCAAAAAATATTTATCAGAAACGCCAAATTCTGAAAAAACGAGATTTCTCTGATGATTCAAATGTTTTTTATGAAAAAAAAGGAAGCTTTTATTGTAATCCAAAATAATTGGATCAAGGTGTTTTAACGTGAGAAACTATACTAGCTATGAGTCAGAAGTTTCACAAACATCGAAAAAAACTTTTTGAATAGTTTCAGATGTGATAAGAAAAAAATCAACAGTTTTTTTGATAAAATTTGACGAAAATTATTTTCGAAAAACTTGAAACTTATTGAAAAAAACAGCGAAAAAAAGAATGAAAAACTCATAAAGTTACCAGATTAATTTCAGGGTCCCTTGCGTTAATAAAGAACATGAGGAAAAATCCTTCATCAAAAAAATACCTAAACTCCAGCTGTTGCTAATTCTAAAAAGAAAAAAGTTTGAAAACTTTCGAATGACTTCTTCACAATAAGTTATTGAATATTCTTTCGAATAATTTTCTTACTACAGTGGCGAAAGTTTTTGATTTCAGTTATTTTTTTTACTAAAAGCCAAAATCCTTGTTCTGAAAAAATTTCAATCTGCTTGGGAACGGCTTTTTATCGAGTTTTCGCCATTCAAAAAATCATTTCGATGGAAAAGAAATCAATGAGAAAGGTCCTGAGGCTCATGAAGAATGAGGATATAATCCTATCAAGGCAATAACTTTAATAAGCGAAGAGAAAGGATGCGCATAGCCGAGATCCATCTAATTATAGGGAGCTGTTGGGACCAATTGGTTGCGCAACTGTCCCGATTCACACGTACATGGCAACTCACGGGCTGTTGCTTTTGGGCAGTTGGAGGAAGGTCGAGCAGCCGTGAAAAATGATCGATTCATCGACGAATCACTGGCCGAAAGCGGAATTGAACAAAATGCAAGATAAGAGGAATGAAATGTTGAGCTAAAAGAAGGAATGGAGGAATGAACAATGGAAGGGGAGAAGAAGCTATGAAATAAGTTGTCTGAAAGCATTTTTAATGGTTTTGAAGCGAAAGTTTTCTGTCAACAAATTTAAGCGTAAAGAACGATTTTTTTTTCATATTCCATTGCGAAAATCTTTCCAATGAAACTGTGAGTCATGACTAGGAAATGTTTGTGTTTTTCAAGAAAATTTAAAAAATGCTGATATGAAAAAACGTCGCGGGGCATAAGAAAAATTTTCGACTGTTTAAAAATCCCCTTCAAAGTTATTGGAGAATAATCCCTGAAGTGGAAAAGGGATTCTTATTGGACACTATTTCTCAAGTTTTTCTTTGCGCTCATGCTGAGGAAACATCGAGAAATATGATCTTGGAAAGGTCGTGAACTTCTGGAGAGCAAATATCAACAAAGAATACTACAAAAAAATCAATTGGAAGCTTTTTTTGACTTTGTCCAGCGGATTTATTAATTTTTTTCTCACTGCAAGCTCAAAATTGAAAATGACAAAAATTTTATTGAATTTTTTTTACATTTCTGTTTTTTTTCGATAATAATTCTGTTGAATTCTGTTTTAAGCCAGCGTTGAAAAAGAATACAGCTGCAAAATAAAAAAACAATTTTTTTAAAAAAATGAAAAAAATTCCACCAAAATGAGGATTGTGCGAAAGTTCGCGTAGGAAAATGAGAAAGAAACTCTCAGAAGAAACGATTTACAAAACTTCGAGAGCAAATAAATCGAGGCGCAGTGAGGACGAAGTGAATCGATGGACGGTACGCGGAAGGCGTTGATAGGGCAATAGACTCAAACGATCCTTAGATTCAAGCAAGGTCAAAACGCTCAGTGCTCGGCGAACCTTGAACTAACAATTCCTTCTCAATTCGGTTCAATCGACACCGTTCAAAGTCAACTCACTCGTTCAACACACCCATCCTCCTTCCAAAATATAGTCAAAACTCACCGAGATGGGCGTTGCCACGAGGTCAAGAGCGAGGACATTTTTGGTGACGTTTGAGTAAAGTTCTGAAATGGTTTCAGTAGAAGTGACGGCAGAAGGAACAGAAGCAGCAGAAATGACACGACGAGAAGCAAGCACGTCCGTCCGCGACTGAAGATTTCTCGCACACTATGTATAATGGCTTATGCGGCGCATTGTGGCCGCCAATCATTACAGCGCATTGTTTCTTTTCAATCCACCGCTCCATTCCGTCTATTCAGTCTTTTGTATTCACTTTGAAAGGACGCACACACCACGCTCCACGCGCCAGTCGTCTTCCCATCACTTCGCATTCAAACGTCTCTTGCTCCGCCTCGTGTGTCGAGGCATGCGTATCGATCCTTCCAACTCTTTTTCGGCCCTAATTAGCCAACCAAAAGGCTCAAACTTCACAAAATGTTGCCTCTCTGGCCAATTTTCATTTTTGACGTCAATGATATCCTACTGAGAACATGTAGAATCTGCTGAGAGAAAACGGAAGTGATCAATGAGATTTTTGCCCTTCTGACCATCACATGTTTGAAGGATCTATGATGAAGTTTGAATAATATTTTCAACTTCGTTAGTTTGAAAAGTTTTTCATTTTCTTCTGTTTAACGTTTGAAAATGGTCACCCAAAACTTGAAAGTTATCTCGAAATTATTTGAAAAGCTGATCATAACCAACAGAATGATGACCTGAGAAACGTCATAAAACACAAACATTCTTGGAAAAAAATTTCTCTCAAAGAATTTAATTTTCCGGTTTTTGAGAAATGAATTTCATTTTCGTTTCAGGAGCTCAAACTTAATGGAATTTTCTGTTTTGAATCAAATTGGTACAATTCCATTGTTGATCTCAATCTCATAGAACTTCACTTTCTCACTATATTTATTATTTCTGACGGGGTCATTTTAGTGACAACTTGCAGATAGCGCTCGTCAAATAAATTACTACGAAAACAACAGTCCTGACAAGAGGTGTGGCAAATACCCAGAAGCCTAACAAATCGAAGGCTTCCGAATAGGCGCAAAACACAACTGAAGCGGAAAAAAGAGATATTGCCTTATGGTAAGAGGATATATGGACAGGAATGCGAAGGCGCGGGAAAACCAAGAAGAAGAACTGTTATAACGGCTTTTTTGCCGCGATGACAGCAAGGGCTCGCTTGGAGGGGAAAAAAGACGGCGCGGTAAACGTGTCGCCGAATCTTGTAGCTATTCACCCTCTCTCGCTCATAACTTTCGGTTTCTCCTAAGTAACAGTAGGAGGAAATCAACACAAGTAACGATTATAAATGGTGCAGCTTTGGAATTTGATGATTTGGAATGAAACTGACATGATTCGACATGAGAAACACGATCGAAAGTAAATTCATGATCAGAAAATGAACGGAATGAGTATTGAGGATGTACTAATGAGTTCCCTTGAAATGATTATTTCTCGGCAACTTGTTGTGATTTTAAAAAATACAGAAAAATGGAAGGAGTTTTTCAAAGCTAGGTGAAAATATCAACGTTTCTGTGAACAGAATATTAATCCAAGTTTCGAAAAAAAAAGTGACGAAAAGTACAGATGAAAGGCAAAAAAGTCGAATTTGAAATTCGAGAAAAGGAAAGAGAAGGGAAACTGTAGGGTGTGGGTAAAATGCAAATTTATCCAACGTTCTGCGCAATGTTGGGGCCGGCCGTAATGGTGATCTCTTCGTAAGGCTTGGCCTGCTCGACTTCGATCGCCTGCCACTTCTTCAGGACCAACAGCGTGTAGAACTTCTGGGCAGCCGTCTTGCGCGTGGAGCCTTTGTTCAGGAGGTCGCTGAGGGTGATCTGAAAGATGCTGGTTACGATTATCCGTTATTTAACTGAGATAAAAGCCGAAAAATTCTGAAACACATGGAACTAGCCTTTAACTTTTATATGTAATAAATGCGTCAATTAGGTCCTAAATCTCAAAACGATTTTATTTTCATTTCGGAATTCTTTTATTTTTTTTATTTTACAAAAAGTATAATGTTTTTATTGGCTTTAAATTCTATTCGAAAATTATATCAAAGTAAAAATCTACCCGGAACTATTGAATAAATCTTTCCAGTTTCCCTCCAATAAGTTCTGGATCCGAATCAGAATAGTCAAATATCCATATCATCAAGCTTTGAAATGTTCAAAAAAACAAATTCAGGCACATGAACTTAAACATTGAAATTCCTCAATTAAGATACAACATTTTTGGTTTGCTCTCGAATTGAAGGTTGTTTTTTTCATAATTTTCCATTATTTCGAATTTTAAAAAAATTTCCCGTTTTAGTGTGATCTAGTATAAGTCTAATCTTTCGGTCTTCCAAAGTCTTGGCTATTCTCGAATGCAGAATTTTTTTCTACTGTAAACACTGTCGCACAACGGAGATGGTACACAGCTGCACACATGGTTCCTCTCACGAGACTTGTTTAGATGAACCAAGCGGCTACATCTTTGAACTCAAACTTTGTCTGAAGAAAGAAGGGCGCGTCAAGAACCGAGTCCATCCGCTGACACGTGTACATGGGACAGTTTGAATTTGTAGGGAACATCCCATTGTTCTCTGGCTTCGCAACTTGGCTTGCTGACTTCAACGTGAACCAAAAGACAATGCCTTGTCAAATGGCCACGATCCGTTGGTTGTACTATCACAGCAACGGTCAAAACGTGTCAGAAAGTTTGAATTTCTTCAGACAGTTTCGAAAGAAGGGTCAACTTCTACTTGAGGGGCCTTTTTTTCGTTTTTGTTTTTGAAAAAAAAAGTTGAAAAGTTGACATTAGGTGCTGAAAACAGAGCTGAACAAAAAGAAAACTAAAAAGCTAATTCATGCAGATATTTCTTTGATTTTTTTGAAGAAATCATTGGAATGATGAAATAAAAAAAGACTTTTTTTCTAGAAGCGAAATTTCCACCAAAACTTCAATTGAAATGTAATCGATTTTTTTCGATTTATTACTAAAAAAAGATGATTAAAGAAAAAAATATAGTTTTTGAAACAACTCAATTATTAAAAACCATTCACAAAAACATATAGTTTCAGCCGGTTCGATGAGGATCTCGATGCTAGAAACGGCTTTCTGAATTTTTGAAACAGCGCTGGAAATAGTGATGAAAAACGATCCGCACAACTATTCTCTACGCAAAAAGAAGTCAATACTGAGTTTGGCTCATGATCCAGAATCAGTGATTGAGCCGTCAAGTTATTATCGGATGTGCTCGTGTAGGCGGAATAATGAGCGTGACTGGCTGCTCAGGATGTGCACACGCGTCACGGAACATATTGTCTTGCGTCATGCACCTTGCCACTTATTACCCAATAAATTTCTTCCTTCTCCACACTCTTCCTGGATTTTTCCTCTATTTCATTTACTCCCATAAATCTTGAGAGCTACATCGTAAAACGCTCAACCGGACGATTCACAGTCTCAGAAAAAGCGTTTTGTTCCGTTTGATCGATTATCAGTGATCTTATGATTTGACTGAAAATAAAGAAAAGAACAATCGCCAAAAAACTTCAGTTTTTACTGCTGCTGATTTTCATTTTTCAAGGTTTTTAAAATGGATTTACAAACCATCCGTAAGAAAACTTGTATCCTAGCTTAGTTCTTGAAACCAAGATCTCCTTGATAAAATTCTGAGTTTTTTTACAACAAAAAAATGCAGGAATTTTGAGTTCATTTTAAACTATAAAAACCAATCAAACTATTCTAAAAATATTCAACTGAAACCGCAGGACTGCCCTTTTTCGAGAACTTCCGACGATTAAATTGCTCTTCTAAGACTGACCGTAAAATAATAGGGTCATTTCGAACCAGACGGGTTGAGTCTGAATTGCGCATTTTGAGAAGAACGAAAAAAAAAAAACGCCGATCAAGGTTTGGCACATAATTCTGCTCAGAAGCGTCAATTAGAAACGAGGTCAGATCGAGCGGAAAATAGCCTCCGAAGCGCCGCTTCGAATGTTGCACGTCAACTTGTAACCTGCGGTGCGTCGAGTTTCGAAGAGAAAAGAGGGTAATAAGGTGCGCGAGAATTCCCGAGAAACTGTACTCTTGAATAATTTGGCGGCGTCCGTCGCGTGCGTCGCCCTTCAACCAACCGCGAAATTCTTCCATTTTTTCCTCATTATCTTCTCCACGGAAAACTGGGGGTACTTCTTGTTTTCAAAAAACAGGGAGAAGGAGAGTAACAACCTGACTACAGGTGTGCAATGCAAGTGCAAACAATAGGGTTGCCAGGACGAACGTGGCAGCCGAGAACAAAAGACCTGCACCCGGCCAGAGCGTTTTGCTCCAGATCACGTATGTTCCATCGGTTTGATGTTCAACCTAATAATTATTCGTGAGGTGATTGGTTGAACTTCAAAGATGGAACATGGTAGTAATTGGCTTTTGAGTTTAAGAGCTGGTTTTTTATGATAGTTGCTATATGATCTGAAGTCTTTTTGATATTGAAGCTAATAACGATAGCCAAGTAGGATAACCTTCGAAAAAAAAGATAACGACGAGTTTGAGGATTTATCAGAAAAAATTTTTACTTTTCTATCGGTTTGAAACCTTGTTTTGATAAAAGTTTCTAATATTCAATCCAACCGCTCTACCGAAGATAAAAACTTCGGAAAAAACGCCTGAAAGAACTTTTTCTCGCAGAAAAAAAAAATCTGAAATTTCAGTTGAATCTCAGCAGCTCATGCCTTGAATTGATCAGCGATCGGAAAAGAACATCGCATTCAGAAGGTCATGTAGAAATTGCAAGATCCAGAAAATAATATATTCTGGATAGTGGATCTGAAGCGGATTGTCCAGTTAGTGGCTAATCTCTCCTCGACATTCTATCAGCACTCTCCTAATATGCGCTGCATCCTCCACCCGCTCTTCACACCAAATAATGTGTCCTTCTTGGCGGCTAAGCGCCCTTGAGCGGGTCTCGAGCATGTCATCTGCAGAGGTGAAGGTTGTCGCCGTGGCCCAAGGGACACACGACTGCGAGAGGTGTGCAAATCATCGCAAGTTTCAAGATATTTGATCTTTTTTACGTTCAGATCGAAGCAAGTTCAATGATAAAAACTCAAAAAAAAGAGAATGAGACGTTGTTTTTTGAACTTTCTAACTAGTTTAGACTCTCCCGTCTTTGCCTCAAAATGCTCGCTGAATTCCACATTTCCGTCAAATGAACCAAACGAAAGTTTAACACCGTTTTTTTTTGAATTAGTAAAACATTATCTCTAGTATCACCTACTTATCAAGTGAACAAAAGCCCCAACGATAAATTTTTCTGAACCAACCTCTCCATCAGCGTTCGACTTGATTTTGCCGCTGATCGAGTTTAGGACGTTCTGAGTCCGTTTGGTCCAGCGATGATCATCTTCATCGCCTTCCTCTTCTTCAGCAGCAGCGCCACGGGCTTGCAACTGAAAAAAATTCTTTGTTGTCGGAATTAATTATCAATTTTTTTCTGCTGAGTTTATACATTTACAATTTAAAAAGTCATATTTCAGAAAAAAATGGTTTTCGACCAGGTTTTTTTAAAAATGCTAACCAAATTTTTCAAATTTACTCTGATGCTTCTCCTCAAAAAATTTAAGTCGGTTTGCTGAAAGAACTTTCTAAGAAGAAGTTCGTATAATTTTCAGAATCGAGATGATTATTGAAATGAATTTTGAAAACTCTCAATGCAGTGCAAGAAATGATTTTCAATAAACCTCGGGCTTTTTTATTCTAATTTAAAAACAACATTTTTTGAAGCTTTTTCCTGTAAGAAACAAGGTGTATTTTGACAAGAAACAGAGACGTCTGTTCTCGCTTTTCGGATCGCATGTAACCCTCTTATCGACCGACGACCGGTTGTCTTTTCTACCCACACATGTTTGCTGTTTCTCTTTCTCGCCTTCACATATAACTTTTCCTGTCAACCAAGCAGGTACAATTTGTCGGGATTTTTTGTTTTAATACCCGTCATCGATAAAGCAAAAAGTAACTGTTTGAATCAGGTGGAGAGAGGTTTTTTTTGGCGAGTCGGAATACGCAGGTCAAAGGCACTGTCGTCTTTTGTATAACTAACACCTGCAAACGAGGCTTCCTATTGTCACGTCGAGATCAAACGAGACTCGCCGGCGTCCTTCCGACGCAATCTCCGGCCACTGGAGTATTTTTTTTCGAATATCGATAGTTAGACTTTTTTTTGGAAGTGGAAACAAGATGATGAATCTTGGGAAGTCTAACAAAAGAGGAAGTTTTTTTGAAGTTCGGAATAATTTTGAAAGATTTATCCAGACACTATCAGAAATTTTCAATAAAAAGTCTTTAAAAAGGTGCATGAATCTGAAAAAAAAATTCAAAAGGAGGAAAAATTGCCATATCGCCATGCAAAAACTTTTTGAGTTTTCTTTTTTAAAATTTGAAGAATAACTTTCCAATTAATCAATGATATTGCTGAATGTTACTCTGCACGAGTTTCGATGATTTCCTATGATGAAACAGAAATTATTTTTTTTCTTGGCGGTGTTAAAAAAATTATAAAATTTTTAGTCAAAAAAAATGATAAGTTCAGAAAAGCCTTTGTTTATATGTTCAAAAAAAGCTATGTGTTCAACATTGAGACCTGTTTTTGATTTGGCTTGGCTTGGAGCAACATAAAACTTTGTGAAAAGTTCACAACTTTTGCTTCAAGTGTAGTGTTATCTCATACCTAATGAAAAAAGTTAGGCGAACAGATATCTATCAATTTTCAGAACGTCTCAGTCATTAAAAAAAAAGATTTAAAATCAAAAAGTTTGATGACGGCCTTACACTTCAAAACGCCGTTACTCTAATTTCACAGCTGAAAACAGCCGCGGAAGCCGTATCAGTTACTGTAGATCGGCTTGTGGGCACACGCCGACGAGAAAAAGACGAGATTTGCCTCGCCGCAAAGTACACATACATACGTACGCATTTCACGCCGATAACATCACAACCGTGAGGGATTACGGTATCCGTAGCGCAGCACTCGTTTCCAACCAACCTCTGCACGTCGTTTCTTCTTTTCCGGGGGCGAGAACTCGTCGGATTCTTTGGCCGGCGATACTGGACGTTCCATCGGCTCCATGGGCGGTGGCGTGGCTGGTCCAATGTTGTCGAAGTCGGCCACGCCGACGTCTTCGAAATCATCAGCGAAGTGGTTGTCCTGCAATGAAAAGGATTTATTCAAGCAAAAGTTACACAGGGCATTTTTGAGGGTTTTTAGAATTTAAGTCTTCTTCTCCCAATTATCAGGCCAAAGAACTGCAATTTGAAATTATAGAGAAATACATAAAAATTCATACTGCATCAAATTCAGAAGTGGAAAATTGCGCCAAAGGCTCCTGTTGAAGGTTTTCAAATTTTTCGAATCTCTCTATGTCTTTTGCGAGTTGTTTTTCCGTGATAGAAATTTCTTGATTCCCAGCAGTTCATTGAGCTTTCAGAGGATCAAAGACAAAACTTCAAAAAAGAAAGATGGCTCTTTTCAAGCTCTCATTTTTTTTAATGGAGAAGTCATCATTTGAGTTGTTTGATTGAACAAAGTTTTTTCCTTATTTTTATTTTACGACACTTGAGAAGTCTCGATTTCTAATCAGAAGTTGGATAAACGGAGCTCCAAGAGGCAATGAATCGTGGCCGACGCCTTTTGTGGTAAATCCCGTCGAGTGCATTAGTAGGTTGTCGACAACAATGATCCGCAGACACACAAACCAACGCAAAAGGAGCCACCAGCCATTGTCTAGGGCATATCGGAGGTTGTCACAAATAGTGTTGATGACATCCAAATATTTGCGCTTGACACGTTAAGACTTTGGTTGTCGCCGGCCCGATTCTTGGCCGACCGTTATTAATAACCAATATTGGACCCTAATCACAGAGGCTGTGAGGTGGGGATTGAGATTAGTCACTAAGTGGGATGTTATTATAAAATATCTAGCTTGAGTGTCAAGTTGATAAGAAATGATTTGTCTATGATCCAATGTTAACGCTGAGGGTTCATCTTGATTCTGAAACAGCAATCTGAGGTAGCTGAATCTTTCACAAGTATTCCTGCAAAGTCATAACTTCAGAAAAAAAACTCAGTGCTTCAAACAGCTGACTTTTTTTCTCCATTCTTGATTCTCAGCTTATATGGTACTTTTCATAATATGAAATTGGTTCATACTAGAAAACCTTGAAATTTTAAAGTCTGTGTTTGGTTAATCGGGATTTTAGGACCCTCAGAATGTTATGAGACATCAACTCGTTTGAAAACGGATCATATCGGTTTCATATTTCTCACGTAACTTCCCAATTTTTTAGATTTGAATATTAATCGAAAGTCAAGAAGACAGACTCACTTTATGTACCGAGTCATTTTGCATAGTTTCCACCCACTTTCGTGCTTGGTTACTGTATGTCTACCCGATAATCCTAATCTGCGCGTGCCATCATCCTGTCGCCAGCCTAATCAACCTTCGAAAGTAAATATTTGGTTGTCGCACCAAACTTGGCCTTTTTCACAAATTGCTGGGTAATCAGCCGTCAGCCAGCTGCCATCTTATCCAACTCAACAGCGAAACCAACTTAACGGCTTACAAGGCCGTTTTGCAGCGGCGTTAAACCGACCATCACTGGGATTACGCCAGCCGACGACACTATCCAGTTAGAAGCCACACCTCAACGAGGCGCCTTTCATCCGTCTCGTCAGGATGTTCCTCTTGACGACCCGCATTCAGTTTGGACGGCGATCGGCTCAAGTCAGAATCGGATTGAGGCGAGGTCGGACCAACGGAAAAGGCGGCCGAGTGGAGGGGAAGTGAAATGTGTCAATGTTTTGTACTTGACATTCATACAGACACACACGCTCGTGGACCTTCACCTCTTAACTCTACAGTAGTCTATTGAGATGATGGATCTGAAAACCAATCGAGATCATAAAATTCTCAAAGATCAGCTTCGTAGGGCTCACTGTTTTGTGAGATTTTGAAATGGAGAAATCACATGTAGCATGTGTAGTAACAAAAGCTCAACGCAGATTCATCAAGGCCTTTTTGGTTTTCAAAACGAGCGTACAAATTTTTGTACAGTTTCCAGATACTTTTTCCGGTCTGTGGAGCAGTACGAAAACACCCACGAGCAGTATAAAATATCGGAATATTCAGCAGGCATGGGAAAACCTTCATAAATGTACGCACCGTGGGTATCGAAAGACAATGACGAGTTACAGCCGCCTGTAATGGCGTGCGCCTTCTCAATGAAGCGTTACCTTTTATGTGAGAAATCGTGGCGCTACAAAAATAGGTATCATTATACCAGCTCAATGATGTCATTAAAGAATTATTTTCTGTTATTCAAACAGAAAAAAATAATGGGGATATGAAACTCCTAATGATTGGTACCATTCTTTGAAAAAATGAAATAAAGATAAAAAACTAAAAACTAATCTTCCAAAAGTCTTTCATCTTCTGAATTGTTTCTCAATGATTCACACGATATCGTAGATCAGAAGATTTCCACTCAAATACCTGCAAGTCCAAATAACTTCTCGGACTAAAATAATGGCCTCATAAGGTCAACCGAGGAAAATCGGATGAGAGGAGGCGCCGGTTGAAAATTGGAAGTAGAAGAAGGCCAGGTATCATCGGACTCTTGAGTGCCGTCCGAAGGGTGCTCCATTAAGCGACTGTCGCCAAGTCGAGGTCGCGAGAGGAGCATCCGTCCAAGACGCTTACTCGACCAAAAACGTTCCATGCCCGAATAATTGCGGTGCGCCGCGAGCCAGTTCGCCAAGGACGGCCATTTTATTTGTTTTATCTGTGCCATTTACAAGAAGATGACTCGTCACGAGAGATTTATGAACGGCCAAGGGGGCTGGCGGCAACCGTTCAGTTCTTTTTCTGAGTAGAGAATCTTTGACCGCTAGGATAACTGTGGAGATAGGAATGGTTTAATCAAAATTTGGAGCCTTTTAGTAAGCCTCATGGCATCTTACTCTGTAGTAGCGTTGAGAAAAAAATTTCTGAAAAAATATGTGACAGTTTTCTGTTTTTTTCCATTACTGATTGTGTTGGCAAGACCAGTTATGAAAAGACCGTAAATAAATCTTTTTCTCAAAAAAAAATCGTGAATCTTGATTTTTTGAAAAGACAATAATGTAATCATCATCAACTAAATAAATATCTCTTCACCTAAAACCGTGTACCTTACTACGAAGGCAAGATCATGAAAACTCCATTATCCAAATTTTCTTATCGAAATATTTTTATAGTTCTTATGAATAATAATTATTGATTCTTCTTCAAAAAGCTAGCTGAAAAGGTTAAGATGTTCTCACAAAAGAAATATCATATCATAGAATAAGATTTTTTGTGAAGTCATTTCAGACTCGGTAAATTACTTTCAAGACGCGTGAAATATTGGATAGATGGATCTTTTGGTTTTCATCATAACGTTCATCGCAAGAAGCTGCGCGTATTGTGTTGCGGGTTGCGCAATCCTTTGTCACTCCGACGCTTCTGCTTTTGGCCTGGACGCACAGTCTGGGAAACGCCGACAGCGACTGATGGCTTCATGGGAAACAAGGTTTTTCAAAGGCTGAAAGAATAGTGTGGTTGTAAAATATCCCATTGGAGTGAAATAACATGAGAATCTCTACTAGCGGTTCTCGGGACTTGTTTTGTTCAGCCTCAAGACGCGCGAGTTTTGGAGGGAGTTTTAGTGTTTATCTTAAAAACAAGTTAAACTTAGATTGATGACTTGAAGCTTCTAGTTTCGGAAAAGAATGTTCTTTATAAGCGAGTTTGTTGGCCTATACTGCCTGTCTAAGAACTTTCAAAAATTGGCTTTTTAATAGAAATAAATTAGGATATAACCTGACGTGCCTTAACAGTCAATAAAACTGTACTTGTCTACACGATGACGTCATTCCTAGACTATTCAGAAGTGCGCGGAAAACGGAGAAGCAGCAGCATATGGCCGCCACTCCCGCCAAGTGTTTCCATGTGTTCCAGACGGTACAAACGTGGCAATCCACGATGTTTCACACCCACTTCATCACTTCTTCTCATTTGCATATTTTCTGTTTCTGCCGGTGCCGCCTCGACGTCACGGATTACTCGAGAGTCTTGAGGACTCCATTGTGATCGAAGAGCTTCTGCACATATGGACACGTGTTGAACGATCAAAAGACATGAATTTGAGGGATTAGAGTTATACTTCTTGAACAACAGAGACGTCAAAAGCCTCTTCCTTCTACACTTTTCGGCTATCTTTAAAAACACACTCGAACATTTTTCAGATTGAAAATAAGCAAAAATGAAAAGCAGTTTTGAAAAAAACTTCGTAGCATATTTGGCTAAAATAAAAGCTCGAAACAGAAAACGATTGTTGAAAAAATTCTGAAGGAAAACTCTTTCTTTTTTGAAAATAAAAACTAAAATAAGCAGGACTTATTGAGGGAAAGCTTTCTTTATGATTTAAGCGTTCAATTGGGCAGAAAACGCTTTTTTTTAAATTCAATTTTTGATTCTGTCTTAAGTTTACCGCAAAACAATTCAAATTATTTTTGTTAGTCGAACAAAAGAAAAAAAAACTCAATTAGAGATTTCTGAGGTTTACCACTCATTCTGCTGATGAAAAGTAAACTATCGGCTCCGTCTGATCTTCTATTTTACCATATTCTCAACTCGGGCAAATCTAATCAAATCTAACAAAAATTTAGACGTTACGGTAAACGGTGACATGCACGCAGGTGTGGTGCCGTGTCGTGTTTTGACACATTCATTACCGTAGTCTCAAGTCATATAAATTAGCGTATCCATCGCAAGACGCTGCGTCTTTTGTGTTGGTAGTTGCGCAAGCGGAGAGACATCGAACGCAATCATCACACTCCTCTGCGGCTCCGACGCTTCTGCTTTTGGTCTCGTACACGTCATCCGGGAAATGCCGACAGTCCGACTAATGGCCCCATGGGAAACAAGGTTTTTTTTTTGAAAAAGAGTCGGGATCTTCGAGGTATTGAGTGACGGTTTAGGGGTCTGTTTTCAACTAATTTTGAGTTTACTCAGTGGTTGAGTCGGGCGAAATTCTGACCGATAAAGTGGAAAACGCTCTGAGCAACGCTGAAATTGTTGATTTATTAAAATCATGCGGTTCAACTTTCTAATAAAGTCAAAAAATGAAAAAGCGATTTTCCTTCTTTTTTTTTGTAGCACACCGGTCAACCGGATTTTGGGGAACGTTTACCGAAACATGGTTCGAGATGAAAAAAATTTTCCAGAATAGTTTGTAAAACATAAAAGGATGTAAACTTTCTGTTCATTTTTTCTCAAACATCGATAAATGTTGTGAAATCCAGTTTTTGACTATTTTTGATAACCCTCTATGACGAAAAATGTCAGCTGTCAATAATTTTATTTCAATTTTTTGGATCCTTCTGTTGAGGTATTAAAAATTTTGGAAGTTTTCTTGTTCGATGATTATTTTAACCTCCGCAAAAATCTAAAAGCTAGAATCCATTTTTTTGCAAGCTGCGACAAATGCCGAACTATAATTTCAATGACTTTTCCTTGACTTTAAATCTACCAAATGAAAACATTCCATCAACAGCTCGAAGCATGCATTTAGCTGTAATTTTTTGTGGATTCCAGCTTATTAGCATAATCGTATAATTTTTTACGACGATGGGATGAAAAGGCTGCCGCGTAAAACTAACAAATGCCCCGAGTTCAATAAAATTTGCTATTGACCATGATACCTGTCTAAAGGTAAGCTGAAAGGCTTCACGTACCGGAGCAGGAAACTCGTGGAAGTTGCGGATCTCCTCTTCTCGGATCTCTCCAAGTCCCAACTCTTGCTGCAAGTCGGTGTTAGTTCTGATCACGTTCTCGGGATGGGCTTTGTAAGAGAGGAACGATTGATAGAGCTGAAGTTTGAGATTCTTGATTCAATTTCGATGAATTTTTCAGTCTCACTCGGACTAGAGCTTTGTTCTTCATTCCTTGACATCCTGGGAAGTGGAATAGTTTTTCAACAGTTCCGCTTTCACGCAAAAGCATGAGCTTCTTGGTCGGAGGAGCCAAGTCGAGGGTTTGAAGAGTGTCGCTGAATATTGGTTGTTTCAAAAACAGTTTTTTATATCACGTTTTTGTTGACTGAATGGGCCTCTCATGATTACTACATAAAAACTCTTTAGCTTTTTACACCATTTTTTCAAACTTAATTTGGCTTAAACAAAGAATATTCAGTTTTGCTTGCGCCACCAAAATATCAGTCCACGCTAGGTTATTTATTTTCATTATAACATTTATTTTAGAATTGGACTACTGAAAGTTGTATTCCAACAATAAAACCACAAAAAAATTTAAAGTTTTAAAGTTTTCAGTGAGAAACTCAAGTAGTTTTCAAAATGGCTAAGAGAACGACAGCTGTGAAAAAAATTCGTTTCAGCAATGAAGTTAGCTACATAGAGAATGCTTCAAAAAAATGTATCTTTCACTTGTTTTCTACAATTTTGTGCTAATCGTAATATGCTCTTTCGTCTCGCTTTCTTGACCTTCGCTTTGAAGTTTTAGAAAGAATCAAGTCTTTTTTGAAAAGGATTATTTTCATAAATTGAAAGTTTTTGCTTCAAAGCAACTGTGTGCATCTTATAAAAACATAGGATATGAATTCAATTGATTTTCTATAACCCTCATCTAACAAAATGGCTGAAATGGCTGTTCAACTTTTTCGAGTTCCCACATTCACCTGTAATCAGCCATGTTGGCTTTCATGGCGTCTCCGCTGATGTTTTTCTGGTCATCGATGAGCAAGCGGCGCTTCTTCTTTTTCTTTTCCGGGCGCTCGCAGAACGGATCCAAAGGCTCTAAGGCAAACGTTTCGCGATCCAGGGTGGCACCTGGAAAATGCGTTTTACAACTTTAATATTTAAGTTTTTCTTTATTTGTCTTGCTAGAAAATCACATTTCAGAACAAAGAAATTTTCGTGTGATTTCCTATCCTCGGTTACTCCGATAATACAGCATTTTTTTGATAAGGTGATTACAAGAGGAGAAGAATGTACACTACCATCGGAAAAGATACAAAAAAAGGGAGTTTCAGTAACAACTTTCTTGTAAGCAATTAACTCTCTTTGAATCTTTCTGGAGTGATGACTGTTTTTTTTTTATCAGTCTGATAAAGATTTAGTTCAGAAAAAGCAGTTTTAAAATTCTTCCGGAAGATTGAATCCGTTACAAGAAAGTTGTGACCAAAGTAGCGTTTTTTTTTTCGTATCTTTTTTGACGTTACTGTATTTCAAGAAAAATCTCACTGCGAGCAAAGGAAACGTGGGACTGAGCATCGTCGTTAATGTGAGAAGGCTCCGGCTGGTGAAGGGCGACTATTCCGGACATGTTGTCGGTCATGACTGAAACTTTTCAGTTACGTAATTTTTCTCAACGCAATCTCACCATCGTCATCATCTTCGCAGCCACCCCCAGCATCTCCGAAATCGTCATCAAAGATCGTGTTTCCAGGAGCACGGATATTCTCAAGAAGAGGAGTTCCTTCACGGAGATCGCTGCAAATTCACCTTTCTTTATTTTTCCTTGTCGTTCGTTTAATGAATCATTGAAATTTCTCCCAACAATATTCGTGAAGAGACTTTCGAAATTGAAAAAACGAGCGTAATAAGTCCTTGCCTTATTTTCCAGCTATTTTGTAAAGAAAGGAATAAACGTTCAAAAAAAAAAACTGGGAACCACATTGGCGCAGATTTCGAGCTCGTTCATTCACACTCTGGTCCAAGAAAACTATTTGCTCGAATATAGTTGTTAACTTCCGCATGACTTTACTAATAGAATATATTTCCCTTGACTGAATATTTATTGCAAAAATGATTCAAAGTGAAGCTGGAAAAACTTATAGATAGACAACAAATTTACACCAATAAGTGTATTTTTTTATATATGATCAAGCTAAATTTTTTTGGGAAAAGTCTAAAAAAACTTTTCATCCTCTTTTTCGAAAAAAACGACTATTCACTTTATTCCATAAAAATCAAAAAAAGTTTTGTATTTAGTCAAGAACCGTCAATGTCAAAACCGTAAGACCATAACAACTAAAGTAACTTTAATCATAAAACTTGATTTTTTTTTCTGAAGCCAGACATTTCAGGAGATCTTTTTGAGTATGATCCTTGAAAGAATTTTCGATTGTTTTTTTTTTAAGTTTTTATCATCTTTTCATATTGTCCGATCTCCTTGTCCCAATAAAGGTCTTTGAGATAATATCAAAGCATCGTTTTTGTCATGAGTCAACTCGAAATAATGTATTATTTCCCACTGTCTTATCAATATTTCTGTGATCAGTGATAAATCAACAAGCTTATCAGAAAACCTGACCTTTAATAGATTATCTTTTCCGGGAACAGTAAGCAAAAAAGTTGAACAACGTAAAGACAGGTGATTAATTTTTTGTGGGAGCGTTCTTTTTTACGAAAATAGAAACGCGAATGAGAATAATCAAGAATAACTGAATTCATAAAAAATTGATGGAAATATCCGTTCAATAGGAAGAATTAGATATTATAGCTGATTCACGGATGGCTTGAGCCATCGAGAAAAGGGTCCCGCCACAAAAAGAGACGAGAAAGTGCCCTGGTTGGTGGAGAGTGCAGACAGGCCACGCTTTTTGCGTCCCGAGATAGCCGTGAATGTTCTATATTTCAACTTATTTTCTGTTTTTTTGCTGTGAAGCCTTGGACTACCTTGAAAAAAACTAACGAAATTTTTTTATAAATAGCTACGGAATTTTTTTAAAAACTCGAAAAAAATTCGGAAAGCCAGGCAAAATTATTATTTTTTTGTGGAGATTTTTTTGCAAAATTATTTTCCTACTTGTTCAGTCTTTGTTGGCTTCGCAAAAAAATTTTCAACTGGCGACTTTAAATTCAATCTTTAAAAAAATTTATTTGACAGAAGAAATTCACTTCCTTTCAAGAAAACGAGAACAGCATTCAGAAAAGTGCAATAAGATATTGATGAAGCAAAAAAATCCCATTTTTTTCGTCTTTTTCTCATGCAAATTTTTTTCCAAGTTGTCTTAATTCAGTTATATTAAAACCATATGAAAAACCACAAAACTGAAAACTATTTATATCATTTTTTTCTTTGTTCAGAAAGGGAAAAATTTTTTTCGTATTCAAATATCCGAATTTCTTACAGTTTCTTCTTTTCTAAATTTTAATTTTTTTCCTTTATTTTTTTAAAAGAAAAACCAACTAAAAGTCTAACAAACCCTGGGAAACCACTGCTACTAGCTTCTGCACGAGCGAATTCTTGGGCGAAATCACGAAATTCGTCTTCGAAACAGATGCCTCCATTGTCTCCAAAGTCGTCCATCTATAAAGTTGAACTGATATGAAAAAAATCAACGAGAAAAAATAGCTTGAGAAAAGTGAAGATTAAAGCACAAAACTGAAAGAATTTCAAAAAAATTTTGCTTGTATTTGAATAATCTGGTTTTCAAAGAATTCTACAATTTATCTCACTTGTTCCAATTCTGTTCAAAGCTGAAATAAATCGAGATTTATTTTAACTCAAAATTTTTTTTTAACTTTTTGAAAAACATCAGTTTAAGTTGTTAAAGTGCTTTTCATTAAGTTTTTTTTAAAGAAAAAAATAAACAAACCCCGAAATCGTTGAACATTGTGCTGCAATTCGTGATGTGATCTTCTTTCAGAGTGATGTCGTCAATTCGACTCTGGCTGATCTGAAAAAAAGGATAATAAAATAAAGATTCTCTCGAGGATGCCAGAAAGTCCACATTGAAAAGGGCATACTTTTCAGTTTGTTTAAAAAAAAAGTTCATTTTTTTATAACAATAATCTTTCTGAGCAAAAACTTTTGATAATTCGTTTAGAAAATAGAATAAGTTACCTGCTTGGATGCATTCATTTAAAAACATTTTGAAAAATAACTCAGAAAATAAAAAGAAAAATGATGGTACCTGAGGAGGATTTGGGAAATCGAAATCAATGTTAAAGTCTGGCAGCGAAGCATCGTAGTCCACGAAAACCTGTAAAAACGGCATTGTTGCTGGTAGTTTTTCAAATTGTTGTTTAAGTCGATTTCGGGATTTAATAAAAAATGTAGAGTCCGGAGCATCAAGGATTGTTCTGACAGATCCGCAATGAAAAAAAACCTTTTTTTATTTACGCCCAACAAAACGGCATCCCTTGAAAGTTGAAGATTATTAAATTTACTGGGCTTTTTTTCAGAAAGGAGCTTTTTTTATAAAAAAAAAATTACAAAAACGGAACAGCAAAAAGAGAAAAAAACTGACGTCAGGCAAAGTGATGGACTGAATGGGCGCCGTGTCGGGCATCAGGTCAAGTTGGCCGGGACGGAAAGCCATTTTGATCTTGAGGAAGGCTTCGTTACAATCGGCTAACAGGTATTTGGTCTTTCTCGAGTAGATTCTGACAATTCCCAAGAGAAGATGTCCTGTTGTACGGAGAGCCATCTTTGACTGAAAAAAATCGATATTTTTTTATATCTTCAGTTGCATTTTTGAGATGGATAAAATAAAAAAATATATATAATGAACTTATTTTCAAAAAAATTTAATCTCGCCTTATTTTTCAAAAAAATTCGAAAAAGATTTCATGTGATTACAGATCCATCGCATCTAATTTACCAAATTCATGAAAACATGAACAAACTTTTTTTAAAAAAATTTCTGCTCAGAAACAACAAAATAGATGCTTAACAAAATGAAAAAAAAAACTTTTTCGTCGTTTAAATTCAATTCGAAATTTGAATAATGAACTAATTGTGACTTCCAGGGAAATTAGGTTACTACATCCAAATAAATTTCATTGATCTTTTTGTTGAATGATTATTTTCCTTATCATCAAAAAGCACACGACCAATTTTCGAGTTCGATAACTGGTGTTTATTTGCCAAACCATTTTTCCTATTTCAATGACTCAGCTCGGGCAAAAATCCAACGCCCACTCAAAATGTTACTCGAATAAAAAGCCAACCTTGGGTTTCATGATCTCGTCGACGGCCTCGTCCACATCCGTTTCATAGATTTGTGCTTTGGATAGTTTTTTCTCCCAATGGGCTGCCAGCCAAATTTTGGCTAACGGCCCCTTTTTTGAGAGCACAAATTGTGCGTAAAACATCTGTAATCAAATACCTTTGATAAAATATTTTGTAAATAATGACAATCTGTAATGAAATACGTAGCGTAACAAAAGTAGTCATATGGACCGAAAATGTACAAAAAAATTAGAAAAAATTCTCTCTCAAACAAAAACTTAATTGCAACTTTTACGAAACAAAAAGAATAACAACGTATTTGATCAAGAATTATGCAATACGCCCTTTTTTGAGGTTTGAAAACCTTTTCGATCGAATGCTATCATTTCATGGCACTTCCTTTCGATCGGATGAAACAAAAGAAAGAACGCGATTCCGGCAAGTTTCTCCTGTTAACAGATAACTTTATGTATTTTAATTTTTTGGAATTTATTTGTTTATTAAAACTTCAAACTTGGGCATTTATTGGACATTTTAACAGCAAAATTGAAAAGTTGGAATGCAGGACTTTGAGGAATTGTATTATACAGATCAGTTTTTAGGATTTATAAACAACAAATCTGAATTGATTGTTTTTCACAACGTTAATAATTGAATAGAATGTAAGAGAAAATGCTGAAAAAAAAACATTGATCGATAACATTAAAATAAACAATTTTCTCCCAAAATCAGTAGAAAAGAATAAGCTTTGAACAATTATTTGATTTTTGTTAATGATAACCAATATTTTCAACACCAAATAGTACTCATTAAACGGTATAGGACTTTATAAAAATAAAAAATGAGAAAGAATTGACAAATAAACGCAAAAAACGCAGTTAATCAAAAATGGTAAATTTTTTTGAATATCTTTGAAAGCTTTCTACACTTGTTATTCCTCTTTGATGAAAATGCAAAAAAAAACAGATGGAAGTCTATTTTGTTCGAACAAAAAAGCTCAAAACAAGCTAATCTACGTGCCGAGCGGCGTTCGAAAAAAGAACGCAGAAGCGACGCGGCTCGCGTCGCGTATTCAGGCAAGCGGGGGAGCCGTTCGGGGGTAATGCGGTCGGTTGTCTCCTCTCTTCAATACCATTCCGCTCTTTCGCAATCTGTTTCGCGCATGAATCAGCTTTGTCGTTTTTTTTTCTTGCCTTTGGCTTTCGATAGTACTTTTCTCCCCTGAGATTTCCATTCCCTTTCCACTCCGACTTTTTAACGTAATTCGCATTTTTTTCCCCCTTTGTGCGTAATTAATGTAATTTAGAATCAAACCATTCATTAGGCTCAATTTTTTCGATAATCTATATATCATTTGCTCAACTGAATCAAAAAGGGGTTCTGAGCGGCCTCTTGGATATAGCCAATTATTTTGACTCAAAAGGTGAGGGAAGCAGAGAAGAAGGCGTGACGCGTAGCGTGTGCTTATTCGGCTCTCGGCACGGGATCGATGCAACTGCCAGCGGCAATTTCGAGAGCTCACATATAAGATCAATACTTTCGCTCTTGCCATTTCTTTTTAATTCTTCTTTGCCTTTTTCATTTATGCACAAAAATAGTACAGTAGATACAAAAGAAGGTTATTTTACTAAATATTTTGTTCGAACTATCAAATAAATAAAGATCAATACTTTTTTTAAAGCTTTCATATTTTTTTGTGACCACCGGATCAATTTACGTTTTCTGAAAAACTTTTTGGCTCATTTTTGGGTTTGCAGGTCTTTGTCGTGGATTTCCCGCTTTGCTTGTCATCATGAGCACTGGCGAAGATTGTAAGTTTTTTTCTCTACTAAATGATTTTTCCAAACGTTTTGTTTTTAAAAAAATAAAAATCTCTAGTAATTGCGTGTAAAAAAAGAAAAAAACTGGTTTCATTCGGAATTTAGGAAATATGAGAAGTATTTTATTGAAGGTTTTTTTTCAGCCCGAAAAAGCATTAATCCTGGACAAGGACATCGTCAAGCTCCAGAGCCTCCAGCTCGTGGAGTGGCTCCTTCTCATAATTCATCTCGCAGCTCTGGAGCTCCCGAACCTCCAGCTCGTGGAATTCCTCCGGAGCCTCCAGCCCGCAGTTCGGATTTGTCCGCGCCACATTCTCGCAGTATGTGTTTTCGAAGTGACCTACTTGCAAAAAGAAGTTTTCAGAGCGCCACAGCTATGCTACAGGAGCTCCTCCAGAGCCTCCAGCTCGTAGTAAGGCAACAGCTGAAGGACAAACGCTTGACAGAGAAACTCCTGAAAGACCAACTCTCTACATGGGGCTTCCTGAGCGTCCAACTCTGAACATGGAAATGGAGCGGCCAACTCTAAACATGGAAATGGAACGGCCGACTCTTAACATGGAAATGGAGCGGCCAACTCTAAACATGGGATCTGCCAGTCGGCAAACTCTTAGTGATAGCGTTATCGACCGTCCAACTCTCAACATGTCTGTCGAGCGTCCGACTCTCAGCTTGAGAGAGTTCGACCGGCCAACTCTCAACATGGGCGACCTCACAGACCGTCCGTCGCTGATGCCCGAACAGAACCAGCAAAACAAAGGCCCGATTCGCAAGCGCCTCACCGAAGCCGAAGCCAACTCCGGCCTCCTTGAGCTACACAGTCATTTATATCCTTAAACAAGGAATCAATTGAAATTTCCAGACGTAACAGCCCGAGTGACTTATGATGACCTGAAGTTTGTTGCGGACCTCGGCCATGGAAGCTGTGGTACTGTTACCAAGAGAACTTACATGGGACTCGTCATGGCTGTCAAGGTCATCTAACTACTAAAAATTGTGAACAAAAAATGACTCAAGCTAGCCATGAATCAGCTATTGAAGACTGAACTAAATATTTTCCAAAGATTTTCATTTCCATCTTCACAAATTCTTCATTTTGATTTTAGCCTAAGTTTTCCAGCAATCAGCTATCTTTGAAAGGAAAAAATTAAAAAAAGGGACAAATGATAAGATTTTCAAGAAAAATGAAAAAAAAAAAAAATTTGAAAAAAGGGATTTTCAGACAATGCCTCGGAATGACAACGTCGTTGAAATGAACCGAGTTCTCATGGATATTGATGTTATCCGCCGCTCTTTGGACTGTTCTGACATTGTGAGGTGCTTCGGATACTTCATCACTCCCGTTAGTTGCTCCTCTTCTCCATCTCGGCTATAAAATAAAGTTTCAGACGGATGTCTCTGTGTGCATGGAATGCATGGCGACGTGTCTTGACCGTTTGCTCCACCATACCAATTACAAGCCCTTTCCCGAGACAATCATTGGAAAAATGATGATCAGCACTGTAAACGCTCTCCACTATCTCAAGTCTCGTCATGTCAGTTTTTATCAAGCTTTGAAGCATATTTGTGAATTTGAGCTATCAATAGACCTGGAAAAAACAGTTTTTTCCATGTTTCTTGATTCTCTATTTTTTCAACTTGAAATTTAAATTTAATAAGTTTAGTGCTCCTCTCTGCCTCGAAATGAAAATATTTCAGTCGATCATGCACCGTGACGTGAAGCCGTCAAACATCCTTCTGGACTGGAACGGCGCCGTCAAACTGTGTGACTTCGGAATCGCAGGACAGCTCATCGAGTCTCGCGCTCACTCCAAGAATGCCGGCTGTCCCTTGTACATGGGTCCGGAAAGGCTTGATCCTGCTGTCTCGACCTCCTACGACATCCGGAGTGACGTTTGGTCTGTCGGAATGACGATGATGGAACTGGCCACCGGGAGATACCCATATGATGGCAAGAGCGAGTTCGAAATGATCAGTGCGATCATTTTCGGAGCGCCGCCCAGGCTCGACCCGGTGAGGCTTCCGGCTCTTTCAAGAGAACCAATTAGAGCAGTAAGAATTGAAACAGAAATGACGAAGAAAATGGAAATCAGCCTCTTTTCAGAAGGCTAAAAAATTAACTACATTTTCAAAGTATAACTAGATTTTCTGCGGATTTTAAGATTTGAGACAAGTTCCTCAAGGTTTAAAAAGCAAAAAAAGTGGTTTCGTTTGATGCTCTGGTTTATCCTTCCATTTGAACTTTGGCTTTACAAAAAAATAAATTTTCAATAGAAAAAAATATTGTGAGGCCTAGGGGGCGTCATTTTAGATCTTATACAAGAAAGAAATCCAAGTTTTCAGGAAAATCATTCGTCCGACTTCTGCGACGTCGTTGATCTTTGTCTTCAGAAAGATCCTACCATGCGTCCCCGCTACCCCGAGCTTTTGGTAAAGCTGTACTCGTTTTGTTTTGTCCAAGCCACATCATTTTCAGATGCATCCGTTCATCAATCTCAACAGCACTCTTCAAACAGATGTCGAAGAATGGTTCACGGAATGCATGGTTGACGTTGGCAAAGTTTCAATAAAGGAATAAATAAACTTTTTTTGTACCTTATACATATTATCACTCTATTTGTATTTTTAAATGTACTTATCGAAAAAGTTTTAATTGCACCCGCTTAGATTAAATATTTTCTGTGTTATTTATTTCAGTAGGAACGATATGAAAGTCTTTCAGTTCGGTTGTTTCCAGGATTTCTTCTTTTGCCACACATTATCCCTCTACTGCTAGTCTTCCTTACCAGCCATCCAATCGATTCTAGCCGAAAAATTTCACAAAACTGCTCTATTTTTATTCCCTGCAGGCACCGCGAAATTCTCATTTTCTTCATATTTGAGTCACATTCACAAGTAAATGTTACGGGTGACCTAGTTCAAGAACCTCGCAGTTTAAATTCCTTTGATGGTATATTTCTAGTTGCACGTGCATTTTCTTTTCTTGTACTACTCTCACTGTTTTGTGGTTGTTTTGCACTATGTTGACGTTTTGATCTGTTTTTTATTGTCGCAGTAATATATGTTACACATTGTGATTGATTCATGGATTCCAGTTAACAATAAAATAATTTGTACAAGAATGTGTTAATTGTTACAAATGACGGAAGTTTAGACGTCGTTTTACAATTGAATGGCCACTTGCCTTCATGAATCGGGGATCGATTAATCTACAGGAAGATAAGTACATTACCAGATGGGAATATTTAAAAATCCTGGCATCGCTTTTTCTTTTGCACAGGGCCACTGGGATTGTACTACACTAGGAGTTTTTTTTTACAATTAGATCGAAAATCACGATTAAACTGTAATGCAACAACGAAAAAATTAAAGAAATTCGCAAGAGCAACGATTTCAAAAGCCGCAAGATTGCTCGCGCAATTTTTCGCATGTCTGCAGACTGGTTGCAAAAAAATCTTCCGCAAGGTTTGCGAGAAACACTTTTCCGAGGTTTTTTTTTTCTTTTTAATTGTTATTCAAGGTTCTTATCCTCATTTTGAGAAGTTATTTTTTGCTTTTGCTGTGTTCTTTCTCACGAACTGATTTTTAGGACATCTTCTAAATCGTTGCGATCGCTATTTTCTTTAAATTTTCCTACCATTAAAAATTTTCAGAGCCTTTTTTTATACAATGCGTAAAAATTTTTTTCCAAGAAATCTTGAAGAAAAATCGGTTTACTTCGCCTGAAAAAAAAAAAATATTTTATACATGGAAACATTTTTTTGATTATTACCTTCATAATTATTTGGCGGATGTCGATGTTTCCGAAATAATGGGACTATCAGTACCTTCAATTTCGATGACCAGATAGTCAATTCTTTCGTTTTCCCCCATTTCCTTGAGAAACTGTGTAAAGTCCTTGATTTCTATGTACTGTTCCTGTTCACTGGTTTCTAAAGCAAATAATAAACTTTTCAGCCAAAATTATTATGTTCTACCATTTTCGAACCGAGTTTGAACTTGGATTGTGTCTGCGCCTGCAATGGTGCAGACTTTGGAGCCCTTCAAAAGTTGTTCGAGTAGTTTCACGTCCATCGTATAAGCTTCAAAGATATTGTTATCCTGAAGTTGTTGAGTTATTCAATTCCTATTGTTGATGCCAACTTTCTGTAGAGCATTCTGGAGACTTGCTTGGGAATCCATTGCGACGCAGACGAAGATCACAATCTTGGGCGCTACCTAAGTTTTGATGTTTAATTTTTTTTTCATTCTATTTTCCAATGGACAACTCAAAAAGGGTAATTAGAATATAAAATACAAGTTTCGATGGGAACAAACTTCTTTTCCCATTATCGCGGAGTCGGACACCTCTTCTTTTTGAACTTGTTGCCCTGGTGTCTCAAAACCATCCGCTTTCTGACTACAGTCCGTACAAAGCTTGTTCAACGATCCCCAGTTCTGAAAACTCTTTTTTTCCGAGTCCCAGGCGTGAAAGAGGACCAATTTTTCGTCCCAGATTTTTGCAGATAACAAACACGTCTTCCAGTCTTGAAAAGCCGGTCGAACGGTATCCAGGCCGACATCTGATTTTTGCTTTTCAGAATAAGAACTGAAATACAACTAACTGCTATTGTTTTGAGTTTCCGAGATGCCATCTTGAGTTTCGTTCAGTTTGCTTGTTACAGCCTTCAAATCCGGACCGCAGAGTTTGGGATGTTTGAAAACCTGCAATGAAATCTAAAACACATCAGGAGTTTCTTAAAAAATTACGTAATTTTCCACTAATTGAGATTGAAATTGATCTTAACTAAAATAAAACTCAAATATAGTCAATGTTTGCCGACTTGAAAGGCGAGGGAGGCAGGGCAGGGGCGAGACGCGTAGCGTGTGCGTTCGCGGTCTTTGTCACTTGTTCAATTCAACCGCCATCGACTCTTTGAAAAGCCCGTTTTTCGCTCTTTTTATTCCTTTTTCAATTATTTATTGATTATATCCATGTGTGCATCAAAAAATAGTAGAAAACATTGAAAAAGAGCGATCGCCGAGCTTTTTAAGTAGTCGGCGGCAATTAATTGAACTCGTGCCAAGAACCGCGAACGCACACGCTACGCGTCCCGCCCCTTGCCCCGCCTCCCTCTCCTTTCAAGTCGGGAAACATTGACTATAATCAAACTTGCAAAATTTCTCGAGGCGATGGTAAACCAAAAAAACAGAAAGTATTAATTGGACGTAACAAACCGGTGGCTTGAGTCTTCCCACGGATTGAAAGTTCAGAAGAATAAGAAACAGCAGGAATCCAGTGACAAACGAGCCCAAAAGGCACAAGTTCTTGTAGCTGCCGTGCATCGATAACTGTGAAAAATATTGAACTTCGTTAACAATGGAGGTCTTTTTTAAGCGTAAGGCGCAGAATTTTCTATAATTTTGCTCAAAAGTCTTTGATGGACTGAGAATCGATCCTCCGTAGTTTCTATCTGCGCACACTTCCAGTTTCGTAGATATGATTTTTCAAAACTTTTATCCCAAACCGTGACGCCGTTTGGAAGAAATGTGGCCGGGCCACCAACCATTGCATGACAGTCAAGAGCGTGGTGCAGTGGAGAGCGTGTTTACCTGCAGAGCTTATGATGAAGGTTCGAATCCTTCTGCCGCTAACTTTTTTTTCTATTTTTTTGTTCAAAAGTTTCAATGAAATTATTGAATTTTTATGAGTTTAACCGTTCCAAAAAAGTTTGATAGCCATTTTCTTTTTAAAATCGCGCTTCTTTCACGGACAAAACTTTTCCCAAAGTTTTTCGCTCAAAGTTTAAAATCCGCTTTCCTGAATTACTTTCTGTTGATTTTCGAAAATGGGTCGGATGTTGTAAAGTCTACCGCAACTTCAGAAACTTTCCGAAACTTTTTTCCATGAAAAAAAGCGATTTTTAAAGAAATTGTCTAACGAATTTTTTAGGAGGGGTTATACATATAAAAATTCAATTAGAACTTTTGAAAAAAATATAGGCAAAAAAAATTAAGCGGCAAAAGGACTCGAACCTTCATCATAGGCTCCGCAGGTAAACACGCTAGCCACTGCACCACGCTCTTAACTGTCACGCGATGGTTGGTGGCGCGGCCACATTCCAAACGGCGTCACATGGTTAAGAACTTTAAATAATCATATCTCCAAAACTAGAAGTTTGCGCAGATAGCGACTATGAAAGATCGATTTCCAATCTATCAAAGATTTTCTGAGCAGATTCATAGAAAATTCTGAACCCTACGCTAAAAAGGACCTTCCACTTAAGAAAGAGGAATTTGCAGCCGAACAGTGATCAATTTTCTCTCGAGTTTCATTGGCAAACTTGAAGATACTTTTTTGGAAGAATTACTGAGAATTCTTCTGAAGTTTAGAGGAACTTGTTTCTATCATCTGGCTTTTACAGAAATAAGGCTATGCTAAACTGTGCTGAAAATGACAGTTTCTTGGAAACGCCTTTATTTGAATTCGAGAAAGCTCCTTGAACTGGAACGATTGAGAGAATAAACTACACCGAGTGTTGTCTCATCCTATAAATTGAATCAAACTTCTATTCATTTAATCGACAAAGGAAAGCTTGACGTGTTAGTTCAGAACTTCAGAAGTATCTGGAATGGTTTAAAAGAACAGCTCAGAGGCTTGAAAAGTAACGTGAACCACCTCTGAGAGAATTTCATCAGATAAACATAGGCAGACGAGTCGTCTAATCATCGAACCTAATCAACCAGCCTACCTTGGTCATGTTGTTTTGGAAAGTGTGAAGGTACTTCCTCCTGTTTCCACCAATTATTAGCTTGACGCAGAACATCAGGAACAATTAGAATTGAGAAGTTTATTGGAATACTTGACAGAAACAGCTATTTGAGCTAGTATTGCAGTTAATAAGCAAGACCTCGTAATGACACGTTCGAAGTTACGTCAAATGAACTTGTTGATTTGAAGAGTATACGTCAGAACGGGGAGCTGATTGGATAATTGAAAGTATTAATCATTTCAAACGCGTCTCATTATATTATTTGCAGAAAAAGGGCATACTCAGAGTTGCTTTTGAACAGGGAAGAATTGGGTGAGATACTTATTGATACAGTAAGGATGGTCGACGTTGATGAAGAAAGTTCGTTGATGGAGGGCATTCACGGCTCTGATTGGCACGTAACGGCCGTCGGCGAAAATCTGTTTCATCATTCTCACGAACTTTTCTGCTTTATCTGAGCCCACCGGAGCGTGGTGGATCTGAAAGCAAGTTTTTATTTTGACTTTGAGACTTTATTCCAACTCCGATTTAAAAAAATTGAGATTCGCGAAAGTTTCAAGGATTCATTTTTTCAGAATCCAGCAACGGTCAAATTAAAGGTTTTGAAAATTCGACTGCTTTTTGAATTTGGAACTCCAAAAAAATCTCTTTTTTTGTATATTTACATTGACTGTCACATTTTTCGAGTGATTTTTAAGTTTGGAGCAAGAACAGGGTAATGATCGAAAAGAGATAGTTTTCTTATTTCTGCCAATTTTTTTATCACTTGAAATTAATCTAACCATTTCATTCCAAAAAAGAAAAATCAATATTCTTCTAAAAAACAGTAGTTTTCCGGGGATTTTTTCAAATCGTGTTTTTTCCTCTCACTTCTTTTGATTTTGTGTCTGTTTTTCCAAATAAAGAACTCAGCTACTCTCCTGCAGATTGAAAAAAGTTTGAACTTTTCAGGTTTTCGTTTCTCAGTCAATTCTTCTTTTCAACCGCATAAGATGTGCTCGCCTTCGAAAAAAATCGAAAAGCTTTGTGAATTTCATCATCTGTTTAAAGTGTTAATTTTCCATGCTGACAAATGATTCCGTTTCCTTGGAGACGTTATTTCGTACGCTCCGTTGATTCTCAGCAAATAATGAGCTTCAATTCTTAGTAAAAGTATGTGTTTTGCTTTGATATGCGTCATGAAGGACTGCAGACACCAGAAAGCTTGGAAAGATCACCTCGACATTCATGTGACAAATAACGATGTTGTGAGCATCGAACTCGGCGTTTTTTGCCATCATCGGGAGCAGATCGTACTCAGGACCTTCGTTGTCCAAGAAAAGGTGGTCGATCAAGGTCCGATTCATGAGTTTGGTGAAGAAAGTGATGACGTCAATGTTTGCCATGGTCGTCATTTTGTAGTTTCCTGAAAACCTTATATGTGAGAATTCCGAGTACTCATTAACCATCATCGAGCCGGACATTGGACTGTAAAAGTCCGGTGTCTTTGCCGACAGCAATTGGGAAGAAAATTCCGATTGGTGAGAACAAATCGGAGTTGGGTGAGACGATAGGGTCTGCCCCAAAGAATTCAGAGTCCTGAAAATCAACTGAAATATCAGTTTGAAATGAGGATTTACCGCAGGGAGCTTGGATTTGATCCATTTTTCAGCTTCTACATCCGCCCCGATTCCGAGAGTGACAACGACAGATTTTTCTTCCTAAGATTAACTTATTTGGATAAAAAAAGCTTGTAACGTCATTTAATACTCAGTTTCTCACCACATTCATATTTTTTCACCCTTTTCGTCGCTAAAAGGGAAATTTTGGTTTTTCAAAAATCAAGCTGCTGAGCTGCTTGGAGTATAATGCAGAAGTGTGGGAGTAATCCAATTGATATTTGGAACACTAGGCGTGAAAAAGCCATAATTCAATTTTGTCCTTCCACAAAAAAAAAACTTTAAACCTTCGGCGAAAAAATGTAATGCTTTATCTCGTCCAAGTTTTTCACAGGAACCAACTCGACCAGCCGTGCTTCCGTATTGTTTTTGCACTTCTCAAGAGTTATAGAGAATGAATCCCAAAACTGCAAAAAACATATTTTATTTTCAACGACATTATAAGTCTTACCTTTTTGAATTCAGAATAGTCAGCAGTTTTTTGAATACAAGTTTGCCAGTCTTTAAACACTTTACGAACGTATATTGTGTCTTTGGTTACTTGGGAAAGCTCCAGATCTCCATGACCCTGAATCGTAAAGAAAGTTATGATTCCCCAGTATTTCATGATCACCTTCGCTTTTGAATCGAGCTCAAATCCATTTTCTTGGATGTTATTTATCAAAAAAATGTAGACAAGAGCGCTGATGGCGACTACTCCAATAACCAGTCGCGTGTATCGGTTGCGCTAAAATTCAGAGTTAAATAGGAATTTTTTTCAAGCTCGCTTTAAAAATATCTCTGTTCAATCGGTGAGAAAGACTTTTTTATTTTATTCAAAGGTTTCTGAGCTAAAAGGGATCATCTTAAAGAGTCACATATAGAAAGATGATAGTTTTGAGATTATCGTGGATGCCTGGGACTTCCAGAGAGAGGTTTAATAATGATGATTAATTTTAATTAAAAAAATAGACTCAGAAAAAAACAAACAGGAAATGCTGGAATTTTTCAATTCCAAAAAAAGGATCAGTTTCCAATCGAAAAAAAGGCGAGTGATACATGAAAAATGTTTGCTTTTTTTCAAAAAGAATCGAATAGTTAATTTTAATACACTGGCAAAACAAAAAATCGGCTTTTTAAAAAAACAAAAAAACTTTTTTTATTTTTTAAATTCAGAACTACGTTATTGAAGAGCCTCATACGGTTGAAAAAAAAAACTGACCCAACTCAGAAAATTGAGGAATTGGGAGGACGACGACGACATGGCGAGGCCGAGTCACAGTGAAGGTGTGCCGCGGGCGAGACTGTCCCTCGAAGAAGATGCGGAGATAAAGACTGTGTCAATCTCGTTTTTGTCCGGAGAAGCACCCGGATAAGTCTTCGAACTCGACGGTACAAGTGGATTACAATCTTTCTTGCAACGCGACCAAAAGTGACGTTGATGCCTGAAAGTTCCATTGAAAATTCCATCGGTTGCAAGGTTTTGGTATATGCGCCGCTAATAACTTTGAGGAAAAATTCGAAATTTATACCAATTTTTTTGTAATTTGAAATATAGGTATCCATAAAGAAGTTGTGATTGAAGAACCGGATGACCTCTATAAAATCCATCTTATTTAAGCTCGCAAAGAGAATCTTTTATAAAAGATAACTGAAAAAAAATTCCTTGAACACGGTCGAACTTTGCATGCTGATTTCTACAAAATGATCAGAAAAACTATATTTAGTTTAAGAAAATAAAAAAGAAAAACTAGGAAGAAGGAATGAAGCAATGATTTTTCAAGCCTTGTAAGTTGAGGACTGCTCTCCACAGAAATGAGCAATATTCGACTCACCACCGAACTTCAAAAAAAAGTATATCAATATATCTATATAAACTTCCTGTAAAACAATTTAGAAAAACCAAAATAAAATTCAAACTGTCATTTGATTTTTTTTCACAATTCAACACAAAGATAAATACTACAGCGACTGAGAGAAAAGCTACAGTCGTTTTCTATAGAAAGCCCTTTTCAAACTGAAAAAGTGTTTCATAGAAGTGTGCAGAAGTGAAAACACAGCTACTCTGAAGAAAGTGAGAAAATTTCGAAAACATACATAATCAAATGTTTTATTAGTTGTATCACCTTCACTCAAGGTAATAACCGACTAATCTTCAAAAATACTTCTTCTATCGAACCTGAATTAATCTATACAGTTGGAGTGATTGCGGATTGATGAATGCAGATTTGAATGTTTTCTTGGAGACTGTTGTGAATCCAAGAAAAAATCTTTCTTCATTACTTCACTACGTCCTTCAAACCATTCTGCAAAAACTAGCCATTCCAAAAAAAGTAGGAAAAAAAGCAAGCATTTATATAGAATACATCTGATAAATTAGAGACATTTCTGGAGCTTTTTTTTCTCTTTTTTTGTGCTAGGAGTTCATAGGATGAGGACAGAAGTTAATCGAACTTCTCAGTGTTCCGGTGGTGTTCTCGTGCCCCAAACGGTTCGGTTTGTCCATTCACTGTTTTCAGCGCATTTCCAACCATTCAGCAAAAGCCAACAACCCGTTCAATTTGTCGGAGTTTCCAGAAAAGCGGCAAAGAGGCTTTTTTGTCGGATTGCGCTTCTCCCGCTTTTGGCGGTAGATCGCCTTTCAACGGTGAGTGCACACAAACTGTGGACCCTGCAGCTCCGCATTGTTCGTCCCGCTCATTTGTCGCCTTCACGTCTGCCTCTTTTCATGCTTTTCCTCTTGTTTCACCAATTTTTAATCACTTCTACCAACAAGCCCAGCACACCGTCTTATTGTAATTTTTGAGCGCTTTATACGCAAAGTTTGATTTTCCTGGGCGAATATATAAGCCTTCTGAGTTTTTGCTGTTGTTCATCCAATGACTTCTCACCTTTTTCTTTGGGAAAATAAAAAAATTCCGTTTTCTTTTCGCCTATTTTTCCTTCTCATAAAAACCTGTTTCGATTAAATTAAAAGAAAAAGTTTTAAATTTTTATCATTTGCAAAAAAATATTTTTTTCAACAACCAACTTGAAAAATCATTGAAAAAAGCTCCTTCTCAATCACTATAATTTTCACCAAAAAATGTTTCTCGGCTTTTGAAAGCCTTTACAATTTTTGAAAAAAACAGTATCTCGAATAACTCTGAATTTCGAATGATCTTGAATGATATTCTCATTTTCCGAGAGGTAAAAGCCTTCTAAAAGTGTTTCAACTTCTGATCAAGTTCCGAAGTTTTTTTCAATCAAACTATGAGTTTTTCTAATATTCAAAGAATGAACTTATTTTGAGCAGACTCCTAAACTTTTGAAACGGTAAAGTCATGTTGGCATTCCTGAGACTATGATTTCTGTCAAATTTTTATAATTTTTTAATCAGCTTAAATTTTCAAAGGGATACAGCTATTGCAATGACTAAAATTTATAAGACAAAAAAAAGATAAGTTATGAATTTCGGGTTGAAACGGCGAATTGTTTGCCGAATGGGAGGCTGAGCAGTTGTCACACCTGACCGGCTTTTTCGGGAGCCGGGGGCTCTTGGATCCGGAGACCAGCCACTTGATATTGACCCCTTCTCGCGCGAAATTTTTCTCGCCTTTCCGAACCGATCGGCAACTATTTCGATTTCCCGTTTCAGCATGAGCCGGCTACTCGTCCCTTTTGTGTTCGCCGTTTTTGTTAACTCCATTGCCGCCAATCGAATTCCGGTAAGAATACATTTCGAAATTTTGGTTTTTTTTGAAGTTGTTTCAAGGCTGTTGAATTCAAAAATTATCTTGATATATTTTTTTAAGGTTTTTTTGGCGTCTATAATATTGTTAGAAGTGTATTTATGAAAAATTTGAAAATTCCGCTAGAGCGATTATGAAATAAACTATAAAAAAAGGAAACTGGAATAATAAAAAAACAAAAATCAAGTTCAACTTCAATTCAAATTTTGGCAGTAGTTCCGAAAAAAAAGGCATAATTCCTTCCGAAATTTCTTCATAGAAACATATTTCTCGTTTTGTGCAAATCCACTTCAGACTGCTTCAACTCTATTCATCAATCTTTCTGTCCTTTTCCAATCAATTCAACAAGTTCTGTTTTCAGAGAAGCACGGCCTTCAGCAACCTCTCTGAAGGAACTTCTAACATTTTAGGAGGTTTCTTCTCTCAACATTGATCTTCACTATCTCGAGTTTTCAGATTTGATCAACGCCATCAACCCAGTCTACGTAGTGATCATCGGTTGGTCTTTCTCGAGACCACGGAAAATTCATCTTTTTTTCAGGATGTCTGATTGCCGCAGGGTGTGCTTTCGAATTGGCTTATGGCAGCAGACCAGCCAGAACGACAACTCATGTTGCTAGCCGAAACGCTCCTTTTGCTTTGTCCACCGCCTGATTTCAGTTTTTGCTACAATTTTTTACACGCAATTTTCAACTTTTGACAGCTTCTGGAAAGGTTCACGCATTTCTGAGCTCAAAAATCAATTAACTGAGTGATTATTTTCAAAAAAATATGTTCAAAAATTTGAAGTATCAATTTTGGAATTCCATGCAAACTTTTTTCAAACTCACAATGAAAACTAACCTCTATAACGTGACTTTTACCAATTTCGAGGCTTTTTTTCCATCGCTTTCATAGTAATCCACTGATTACCCACAAATATCATATTTATGTTTTTGTGGTTGTTTGATTCTTTTCGAATGGGTGACGGGAGCGAAAAAGTATTGTTTCAACGAGTGTTTGTCGCTTTAATACATGTGTCGTATTTAATAAATTATTTTCTTTGCGGTCATTTCTCAACTGTCTAGTTTTTTGTTGGAAAGCTTTTTTAAGTTATTTGAGAAACGTGTAGAGGAATCGAGAAAAAGAAAGTTGAAGTGAAAGCAAAACATTCACATCACTTGGAAAAAATACTCAGAATGAAAACATAAAACATAAAATTGCCGGAAACATTTTTCTGAGATTTCGACCTCAATAATGAACGAAAGTGATATGTAAACATCTCAAAATGTAAATTGGACGTTTGGTTGTAATTAACCCGAGATCGAGGATTTGACCCAAAATGGCCGCTTGAGAACAGCCGTCTCCATGGCGACTGACTTTCACCGGGCTCGCATCCGAGCGCCAATTGCTGAGAATCCATGCGGCAGCCTCGCCAGAAACAGCCCAATCTCTCCATTTCTGGTATAATTCATATTTATCTTTTTTTTTTCGATTTGCAGAATTTCAGTATGTCAGCAACTTTTTTCATCGTTCTTTTATTGATTTTGAAATGACGGAGTTGCTTGAGCTTGTTTCGAAATTTTATCAGAAAGGAAAGTTCCGTTGATTAGGAATATATAAAAAGGAGTAAAGTAACACTTTTTTTAGCGGCTTTCATGAATTCCAATTTTCTTAAAGAGTTTTAGACTTTACTAGGAGAAAAATGAACAAAAGAAATACTTTTTCAACTCAGGCAACAAGGCGCCGCTGATTCGAAGTGCTTCGAGTAGAAGACCGGATAGTAGTAAAGCTGCAGATTTTTCTCTTCAGAAAAGGTCGCTAGAAATCATTTTTATTTGAAACTTCATCTACTTTCAGCTGTCACGCATCAAGTTCAACTCAATATGGAGACCCTACAAAAAGAAAACTGATAGAAGCTCAATACGCAACAAGTTTAGAACAGCAAGTACAACTTTTACAGTTGGAAAATGCCTATTTGTGAGTTTTTCAGACCTTTTTTCAGTTTAATTCCAAAGTCATGAATGCTTCAATTTTCTTTGACTGGATGAGGTTTTCTTTTAATAGGTGCGTCCTAAAGTTTGCATATGACTTTTTAAGTTGTTGGGTTTTTAAAAGCCGAAAATTAGGTATTCCCAAAGCTTATCATGTTTTTTTTTGGTTTTCTTTATTTTCACAAACTTTTTTTTTCTGAAAAAATATGTGGAATTTTTGAAAAAGTAACAATATTATTCGGAAAAAAACTTACAGGAAAAAGCAACAGAAATCCTCCTACCCTCCTACAACTCGCCATCCTACGACAATCTTGGCACGTGGCAACGAGGTAGTTTTTTCCCATTTAGCTCGATTTTTGTCGGAGAAGACAAATTTCGATATTACCGAATTTTACACAGCTCTCGCCAATTCTTTATTGCAAAATATTAAAGATTTCTTTCAATGGCCATGATTGGTGTCGACTTCCACCTTATCATCCACCTCTCACTTCAATGTTGGAAAGCGTCTCGCAGCCGAATTTGAACTTTCCGCCGGTGAGAATGATATTTTTTCCTGAATGTCTTCCTATAAAAAAATGTTTTTGAAATCATTGGAATCAATTTGAAAAATGTCATTTTTTTCAGGTAGAAGAAGAACGGATATTAACAGGAGCGAGTAGAAGCACAATTTGGCCGGAATCTGGGTTATTGATTTTGAATAGTTTTGATATTGAAATTTTCCACTTCCAGAGGTCGCAGCAGCACTAAAGAGCGGAGACAATCATTTTTGTACAACGACGCGGAACTTTTAAGAAGTTTGGAGGAGAAAAATCAGGTACTTTCAAGCATGAATTGCTCACCTAAAGTTTTGATGTTCTCCAGAAACTTATGTCGTTAGAACGGGAATTTGGTGAACTGAAAAAAGCGGAAGAAAAGCAGTTGCACAGGATCGATGCCATGAAAAGAAGGCTCAGAGAATTCGAGAATATTGAGAGCAACAGAAGTGGTGAGTTTTTTCAGCCTCGTTAGTGTTTTTAAGTTTTCGAGTGTCATGCAGCTACGAACAAGTCGCCTTTGCGTTGTTATTTGCCCCTTATGGGCTGAGCCACGATTTATAAAGTCTAATAACTTTTTGAGACACCGTGAAGCTTGAAAAAAGGGAAAATTATGAAATTTTTTAGAAACCGCAGTCCGTGACAAGAGAGCTTTGATGGAAGAGTTACTCCATCTGCAGCAAAGACTGGATGAACTAACGCCAGTAATGGCTGAAAAAGAAGCAAAGTTTGAAAAGTTCTTGAAAATGAAACTTCCTTTCTTCCAGAATAGCCAAGCAAGAAATTGAGAAAACGGAGCTTGCCAGCAAGTTGAGAGCAGCAAACACTTCAATTTCTGAACTACAGGTAAAGCTCGAAAAAAATTGGGCTATGACCTTCAAGAAATCTTTCTAGGCCCGCATTGCAAACAGAGCTCAAGAAGAAAATCTGTTTTCGGAAAAAGAGAGAAGAACACAGGATGAAGTTCGACGTTTGGAAGACCGTATTATAACAATGCGGAAAGAAAAAAATGAGTTGGAATCTCGAGAAAATGATTTTTCGGTGAGTCTTAACTCGATAAAACTAATGTTTGTTGAAAGTTTCAGAAAGAAGTCGTGGAATTGAAAAGACAGGTCACAGAAATGCAACTGCGCAATGCAAATGATCGGTCTTTACTGGATCAGGTCAGTTTTCCTCAAAATTCACTATTTTCAAAAAAATTTTTTTCAGATGTCTGAAGAGAATGCAAGGCTCATAAAGGAAAATTCAAAACTGTCTAGTGAAATTTATCGACTCGAATACAACAACCAGAAGCTGGTAGAATCTAGCGCATCTGAAGTCCAATCGGCTAGAGTTCAAGAAGAAATATCAGAGGTTTAAAAAATTCGATGAAGTTTTTTAAAATAAAAAAATTTTCCAGCTCCGATCAGCTCTTCAAACGGAAAGAACGAGCGCCGTTGTTTTTTCAGAACGTTTACAGTCTATGAAACTTCGATACGAAGAACTGGAGACGATGGCTAGTTTTTTTGCTTCGTTGGAAGTCTTCAATAATTAGGAAGGCTAATGACTATTGAATTTTATTAATTATTTGAATTCATTTATTTCACTTTTGCAAAAACGATCAAGTTATATTTTCTTGATGAAACCGTTTTTTTTTTGCTCTCGTTTTTAGTTCCAACTTTTTTTCAGTTCCATGAGAAGGACAAAATTGACGAAATGGCTCAAATGGAGCGGAATCGCGTCGAACGGGAACTAAACGCCCTTCATGCCCTTTCCAAGTGCGCCATTTATTATTTCCGTTCATTTTCTCCAAGAATTTCAGATCTTTAACGGCTGAGAATAAAACCTTGCGCGACGAAAAGCTAACCATGGGTGAACAAATCGAAGCCTTGAGGACCAAGGTGAGATGGCCGACAAATGGCGCGAAACCGGCGAAAGTCTTGCAGATAATATCACTCGAGGCCCAACTGAAGGATGCCGAGGACGCGCTGTTGGAAAGCGAAAGGATCCATGCCTCGGCGATGATGAGGGCCGAGGAAGACGCTCGGGCTCAACATACCAAGTTTGATATATCGTGCTAGATTCACACGATTTTTCTGGGAATCATCATTAAAAGCAATGCTTGCAAACAAATGAGACAGTGGCTATCAAATTACGAAAGCTCAGAAACTTCCTTTCTGATTTTGACATAAAACAGATTTATTTTTTGCTCAAGTCGCCCAGCAGCCGAAAAATATAACGTGAGAAAATCGTGTGAAAAAACAAAGTGAACTTTTTCACACAAATTTCAGCCTTTGAAAAATAAATTGAATCAATTTTTTTTGCAGGTCTCTTGAGCTTGAAGAGGTTTCGAGAAGGATCCGAGAGCTTTCGGATACAATTCCTTGGTCAGGAACCTCATCCGTCGTTTCAAAATCAAATGCAAGTTTTTCGGACGGTGTTCTCATATTCCAGAAATTCAAAGTTTTTTAAAACTTAAAATTCTTCTCAAAAAGTACGGAATGGCACAAAAAAATCAAAAATTGGAATTTAATGAATTGCGAATAGTTTTCTTAGCTCTAACTCAAACTCATGAGATACGAAATTCCAGCGCCGTGACGACTTGAGCATCTCCAGCGACAGGTTCCAGTGCGAGAGACAATCTAGAAGAACTTGAACGAAGAAGTCATACCGGTCATAAAACTGAGCTGCCGACCCAATTACACTGCCGTTTTCCTTGAATCGTTTCGAATAAATCTAGAGCAATGCATAATTTGAAAGTTTTGATGTCTGCGGCAGCGGCCTGTTCTTGAGTGTTTTTGATCCTTCAATTGGCCCTTGAGGTTGTCTTCCAAGCCATCCAAACAAAATTACTCGCGAAAACTTCTTATGAGTGGTATTTGAGAGTGAGGCATATAAGGCACAAGTTTTCCATTTCAAACTGTAACTCATAGTTTTTTTTGGGTTCGCAAAATTTTTCCTCAAAATAACTCAGTTCCGAATTGCTTTTGATTCAATAACCCGTTCTCCAATTTTCTTTCACAATCTGATTTTTTCTTAGCCAACAAACGGAACTCTCTCCAAATTGAAAACTGATACGAAAACGTATAAAAAAGCTTTTTTTTCGGTTCCGTTTGACATTGAATTTTCAATAACAGTCTGCAACTCTGAGAATGTCTCAAATCATCTC